AAAATTTGAAATTAAATTGAAAACTTGGCAATGTCAGCATTCCTATTTTTATTTATCTCTCCCTTTTCATGTAGCGATATTTGCAGGAGGGCAAATTTTATTTGACGTGTAAGTATTATTTGTGCTCCTTGTTCATGTTCGAAGCCGGGACAAGGAGGAAGGAACATCAATAAGGGATCCTCGAGATCGCTTTCGAGATGCTCGGAAACAATAGGTTGAGTGAATTTTTCCACCGAATAAATCTACCAGCAGAAAGAAGTAAAGAAATAATGAGAAAAAAGCATCTGCAGAGAAAACGGGAAGAGAAAGGTACGATTCGAAAGCATTCGCATTACATCTACTCCCTTGACGTTTGATTAACGTTAAGAAGTGGAGAGTCGCAGAAAAATGTTTGCTGAAGCATTACATCAAAATAGTTGTATTCATTTGTTTCGAAGGGGTTTCATGGGGATTGTATTAATTGAGGAATGTTATCGTCCTCGGCGTTCCATTTTATGGCTACGTCGATGCATGGGATTGGTATTTAATTACATTGTGTGTATTTTTGTACATAAATGATGAAAAAGTATAAAACTGCATTGATTGATTACTTGAACTTTATAACTAATAAAAAATTGCTTATTTTTTTATGAAAAATTAACTATATTTTTCAATTTAAATTTTAACGCCGTGATTAATGATGGAAACTACTTGGAAAATTATAATTACTTTTCAGCAAAAAATAGTAATCAACTAATAGAGTCAATAAAAATCGATTAATCGCTTCACTTATTTACACCTTAACATTATTTTTTCAATTAAACTCCTTTATTAATGAGGAAAACTAGCAGGAAAATTTTATTCTGGAAAAATCTAATTAATTTTCCTGCAAAAATTACACAATAAATAACACACAGGGAATCGATGATAATCCAATAAGAAATTAGTCTTTATTGCATGCCCCGATTAAACGACACGAAGCAATTAACAATTTATCTGATGTTGATTAAACTTCGTCCCGCTCGTTCCGTGTCTTCGTTAATTATCTTATACTCTATCTTCTTGAAGCATTCGCAGTAATTGGCTTATTTCATGCGGAAAAAATGTTAACCTACAAATATCATTATTGACATGATACAAACATATAAATGACAATAAATTTTAATTCATAAAAAAATATTATGTTTTGTGAAGAATTTAATTAATATGTAAGTCGGTTGAGGTGTTATTACGTCATTGTCAAAGTGACATATGTCAGTAATCCGTTTTCTAGTTGATATGGGTTATTTGCATTGGAACAGATCATCGATTGTTATGTCATGTTAATCAATTGTGAACTACTTCCATCTGTCAAATAAATGAATTATATAACCTTACGGATTACATTTTATTTCACTTTTGACATTTTAGGCATTAATAAAGTTAATAGAAGGCATGAAAAAATATAGAATATTGGATTAGAAGACAAGTAAATATTATTTTCTATAAAAATTGTCTGTTTCCTGTTACAAACTCACCAATATACAAAGCATTCTCCACTGTATCAAACAGAGTAATTGGATAATTCGATTGGTGCAGCTCCTATGAAACGTACACACTCCTAATAACACTACACGAATTTATGAATAGAATGTCAAGTAAACATTACACGGTTTATGAACACAATAAAAGTAAACATAATTGAGACATAAATAAGCCCTAATTAATTACACATGGTTTCATCTCATGAATCAAATATAAAATGGTTGTAAGCTTTCAGAAAATGTTTCCTGAAACAAAGACAAGATAGCTTCCGACACGGACTTTGTGTTCAGAAATTAATTTAGCGAAACCTAAAACTAATTTAATATTTTAATGGGAGGAAACAATGCTGTGAGCCATACGCGCGAAAAGATCAATATATATGTTTTATGGTAACTTGGTTGCGTCCTCTAATTATAACTTTATATCAGCAATCTGCTGGAAACATGTATTTATTATATATATATATATATATATTGCGTTTGCAATCCTCACACTTTACTCATAACTTTTAATTGGGTTGAATCGTTTCGTCCTTGATTCAAACCACAGATTATTCTGTTCATTTCCTTTGAAATGCTAATGTTAAATAAGATGAACTTATATCTTATATATAAATATTATATTAGTTAACCATAATTTACTTTATAATTATAATTTTACTAATTAAAATTAATGTTCAACGTTTAATAAAAAACGTTAACAATGTAAGTGATTTCAGAGCTTTTGCTGACTTAAAGTTCAAAATTTCATGAGTTCGAAACAATTATTATTGTTTCCGAAGTTTTAATTAGACTTTGTACTAATTTCTAATTACAGCTGGGTGCAATTTCTCTTGGAAAATGAATGAAAGTAAAAATCTATTTGGTATGTATCTAAATTATGTATTTTACGCCGTCGAGCAACTGACTGGGTTTTTATTATCGCCGAATGCGATGAGAAAACATCTTGAATTCTACACAGTCGACTGAATTTTTCATGTGAGAAGCACGAGCGTCTTGTTGAAGGGGGAATTCTCGTTGCTACCAAAATATTTAATAAATGGGAATGTAAATATTTACAAGATACCGAATGGATTAATTAACTTAAAAGCAAATTTATTATTATTGTATTAGAAAACATACTAGATATACTTTGCTGTAATGTTGTAATTTAATTTGAAGAATCTAGTTTCGGAAGGAAATGGCAAATGTTGTTTGTAACCACTAGATTGAGGTTCAAGAGTTTACTTGAAAGTTACATTCGACGTTCGATTGTTGAAGACGATAATTGCTGAAACGTTATCGTATTACATTTATTACATTGAGATGTAATTTGAAGACTTTCAATTGAAATAAGTTATGATTTCTAATAAAAATATGTTATACAATATTCTACTGAATTTACTGAATTTATTTAAGCACTGAATTTACTTTTAAAAGTTATATATGTTTGTAACTAAGTAGATAAGTTTGTTATGTAATGAAATCGGGCGATTCCCTAAATTTACGAAATAAATTTAAAAGCTCAGACACAAATATGTTAGCCAAATATTAACAGTAGAAGAAACTTTCAAAATGAATATCAAACTAATGTGTTAACTTTCTCAGCTTAAAAACCTAACGATAGAAACGTTTAAAAGCACTGAATTTACTTTTAAAAGTTGTATATGTTTGTAACTAAGTAGATAAGGTTGTTATGTAATGAAATCGGGTGATTCGCTAAATTTAGGAAATAAATTTGTAAACTCACACACAAATATGTTAGCCAAACATTAACAGTAGAATAAACTTTCAAAATGAATATCAAACTAATGTGTTATCTTTATCTGCTTAAAAATCTAACGATAGACACGTTTAAAATCACTGAATTTACTTTTAAAAGTTATATATGTTTGTAAATAAATAGATAAGTTTGTTACGTAACTAAATCGAGTGATTCCCTAAATTTACGAAATAAATTTGAAAACTCAGACATAAATATGTGAGCCAAATATTAACAGTAGAAGAAACTTTCAAAATGAATATCAAACTAATGTGTTAACTTTCTCAGCTTAAAAACCTAACGATAGAAACGTTTTAAACACTGAATTTACTTTTAAAAGTTATATATGTTTGTAACTAAGTAGATAAGTATGTTACGTAATTAAATCGGATGCTTTCCAAAATTTACGAAATAAATTTAAAAACTCACACACAAATATGTTAGTTAAATATTAACAATAGAAGAAACTTTAAAAATGAATATCAAACTAATGTATTAACTTTCTCAGCTTAAAAACCTAACGATAGAAACGTTTAAAAGCACTGAATTTACTTTTAAAAGTTGTATATGTTTGTAACTAAGTAGATAAGTTTGTTACGTAACTAAATCGGATACTTTCCAAAATTTACGAAATAAATTTAAAAGCTCAGACACACATATGTGAGCCAAATATTAACAGTAGAAGAAACTTTCAAAATGAATATCAAACTAATGTGTTAACTTTCGCAGCTTAAAAACCTAACGATAGAAACGTTTAAAAGCACTGAATTTACTCTTAAAAGTTGTATATGTTTGTAAATAAGTAGGTAAGTTTGTTATGTAATGAAATCGGGTGATTCCCTAAATTTACGAAATAAATTTTAAAACTCACACACAAATATGTTAGCCAAATATTAACAGTAGAAGAAAATTTTTAAAATGAATATCAAACTAATGTGTTAACTTTATCTGCTTAAAAATCTAACGATAGAAACTTTTTAAAGCACTGAATTTACTTTTAAAAGTTGTATATGTATGTAACTTTGTAAGTTTGTTACGTAACTAAATCGGGTGCTTTCCAAAATTTACAAAATAAATTCAAAAGCTTTGACACAAATATGTTAGCTTTTTCATTCGTAGTTTAACAAATCAACATATGAAATATTTTGAAGAATTTACTGTTAAAAATACACACACCATAATAATTTATGGTGTGTGTATTTTTTTATGTAACCAGAGAAAAATTGACATCACGTCTCTTTCATCAATTATGAAAAAAAAATCAAAATTTTGACCAAAAATCTTAATTCAGATTTTAAATAGCCGATATTTCTTTTAATATGTGTAAACGCTATACATTATTATTATGTCATATTACAAAGTAGTAGCAAATTATAAAATGTATATGAAATGAATAATTTTTCAGGAAAAAAAATTGGTTAATTGATTCATGTTTACAATATTAATTTAATGATGTTACAATTTAGTGCATGTAATGTGTCCAATTTGCATCCAATTAATATTCCAATTATTACATAATAGAAACGCATTTATGTATAATTGAAGATAAATAAGTATATTATATCAATTTAAAAAAATAAAGTATAATTGATATCCACTGACCTGGATCGAGTGTATAGTATAAATCGAGCTAATTGCATGAAGCGTGAATCTTGTATACGATTGGAGGAACGAGCTGAGCGGAGCCGTTCGTTCTTCATCCCCCTTCAACACTTTTATTCTATGTAGATGCTGCACATAAATACAAACTTCCGGTATCCGCGAAATGCGCAGTCTTCAATCCCTTTACAGTCTGAAACAAAGTTGGCCGAAGGGGTATTCGGCAAACGCAGAGAGACTTCAGCCGCTGAGCGCGACTCGGCAGCAGCCAGAGTCAGTCCGTTGGAGACTCTCAACCTCTCCTCTACCCAACAACCACATCAAAACTACAACAGCCGCGCGTATCATCCAAATACTAAATACCTTTTCCGGACCCGGCGCATCCACCGTTACCGCGAAATTTATGGACTTCACTTTCTACCGCAAAAGTTAATGTTCTCTTCCGCCAATGCCGTGCTTAAATTGCTTCGGGAATAGAAGGAAGGAAGTGGCGCCGGAGGAGGAAAACTCAAACCGGGAGAACGACGAGGACTCAGGTTGGCTTTATAAATATTCAATCAGCTCTTCCCGAGAACTTCAATCTAAAATGACACAATTTTTCTTAACGAGATTTCCAGGCGACGTTTTTTTTGTTTGTTTTTGCATTCTGCACACGTCGAAAATAAGCATATTTTTGCCGATGCGAATATCGGTGTGATTTAGTAACAGCATTCGATTACTCACTGCAAACAACTACCAAATTTGATTCGTTATCCGATATTGGATAATTACAGTCCGGGCACGCATTTTGCAAGTCGCATTCAAGGACGTTCATTGGAATGTACCAATATTTTGCTTTGCTAATCGAGGTGAGCACACAGTACACGATCGGCTTCAACGAGGAGGAAACCAATTAAATGCAATTCCTCTGGGGGTGACATAATTTCGCGAGATTATATCGCTCTTGTCGTTGCGGTTTAACCGCTTTTGCGCTTCGCCTGAATTTCGGGTTCATTTGATAATCTTCGATCGGGCACGAAATTGATACTGCGAATCTTTCAGTTTTTTTCACCTTCTTTCATCCCTCCAATTGATCTTCATATAATGATATAAGCAAAGGCATCGATACAAAGCAAAATTAATCGAAATCGTGCGACAAAATTCATTCAAAATTAGTACATCTTTCAATGAATATACCAATAAAATAATACTAGTAGAAAAAAAAACTTAATTAAAAAACTCAATCAAAATGATTACTTTTTATATTTATTATGTTTGTCATTTATATTTTTATATTATAATATCTATATATTTCTAAAATACCTCCAATTGATCTTCATATAATTGATATTCATATAACGAAAGACATCAATTCAAAGCAAAATTAAGAAGAATGTAAAATTGAAATCTTACAAGCAAAAACATTTAAAATTATTAATAACTTTATATTTATAATATTAGTTTTTTCTCCTTTTAGATCTCTTGATTTTGATATTAATAAACACATTAAAACAAAGCATCGAAATGCAATCAAATTTATTAAAAATTTCTAAACTTGATAGTTTCCAAACATAAGAGAAATCTGTATTTTTTAAAAATTATAATTTCAGTATTTTATTTCTTTATTTAATCCAATTAATTTCAATATAAAAATAAATTATTGATTTAGTTTTGAACTAAAAAAAAATCAAACGAAAACTTTTATAATAATCAGATGCACGAAATTCCTGCGGCTCCTTCAACACGTGAATCTATAAGTCTGCTATAAATTCCTTGCGGCTGCCTATGTCAATGAGCACAAAACTGCTTACTATTGCAAACATCACATCGGTAAATTGGAGCTGATCCTCTGCAGCATTTCAATGTATTTACCCAAGAAGTAATTGCATGGAGAATCATGTTACTACATTACAAATTCGATCAGAAATGTTACAACATAGACATGTATATACAGCAATACCTTGCATAGTGCGGTTTATCAGTTGCAACAATATTCCGGACTGTTTGAAACCGGTTTAATTGAGCTCTTGAAAACCGTATTTGAAACCAAAAAACCAAAAATCCCGCACCGTCCGGGATTTCTTTTCTCCTCGTCACTCGTTAAACGAGATGCATATTGGGTATTTTCTAGTAATTAATTCATCATAAAAATTATATTCGTATCATTTCTTATTTTGTTTTAGATTGATTCCAAGTGAATTTAATTACTTAATGAAAGATATATTGTTTTACACGAAGAAAGTTTATATCATTAACGTATTTGGTAACAGCATTGATGTATATAAACTAAAGTGTACTTTAAAGTTGTCAATATAAAATAAAATATTGAGAAAGCTTAGATATTTGATATGCTCTGTGCGAATATAGAGTGGAAGAAAGTTTTAACGCTTTTCTTACTGTTTTCGTTTCGTCGCGATGTCAATTCCACTCGTCTGTAATATTTACTCCATTTGATCCTTCGTCGTGCACACCATTAACTTTCCATCCAATACATATTCACCATTTTCGTCACTTACGCACCAAAAACCTCAAGACAAATTACACGTCTTAATTCCACGTCATTTGCTAGTGCACGTCGTTTCCATCACTTAAAAACATTTATAAAAAGTCACAAATTATTTCAATTTTTTCTCATTATTACATTTATACTATAATAATTAATAATTTTAACTTTTAAATAGTTGCACCAATAAATCAATCTTCATATTTATTAAAAATATATGTGGGAATTATTATTATTATAAGTTTTCGTTTTATTATTAATAATTTAAATCTGTAGAAAATTGAGATTTAATCTACAACATAACATCCATTAAAAAAAAGCTATTACGTCTAGATTTGTGCGTCGTTTAAATAACTTATATAAGATGTATTTGTTTTCACGTCAAAGACAGAACATTTCATTTTACATCATACTGCATATATTTTATATTTCACAAATATTTCTTTATAGTACAAAGTATAAATTCGTAAAAAAATTCTATTGTAAAAAATCTGTACTATGTGAGTGTGTGAATAAATCCATTCGAATCCAGGAATCGTGTAGTAAGAGGATTTTGGGATTTCCACGACTTTCCTGAATAATATAACAAATCGTTGAATCATTCAATCATACTCGACATATTGATACCAGAAGCCTTTGGATGCAAAGGATTACCTTGAAATCCGTTTGTTTGTCGAAATAATTCTAATGTTTAGTATTGAATTTTGCGATAACAAAGTTCATATAGCAAACAAATCAATAGCAAAGTTTCATAATTGGTGTTTACTTGAAGCTTTTAAGTAAAAAGTTGTTTTTATTAGATAATACCACAATTACGAACAACAAGGCAATTAAAGTTTACTTATAAATTGTAAGATAACTGCAAATTTAGTAAAATGTATGGTCGCATAAATCGGAATTGTAGTTGTACATTTATGTACATTTAGTTTCATAAAATTATTGAAATAATAAGCTTTAATTCTGGCTAAAGATGAGAGAAAATAAACAATATTGAAGATTGATCCAGAGACCAAACTTCACTGATAAAATATGAAGAAAAATAAACAAACTTATATATAGGTGATACGATAAAAGTACATAATCGGTAAATGTAAGTTCAACTCACCCACCATTTCCGGGAAATGTTAAATGTGTACATGTCGGTAAATGTTCATATAGGTAAATAAAATATATAAGTTATGACACGCCAGAAAGAAACTAATCACACAAACATAGAAATATTTAATTTTGAATATACCACATTGTTTGCTGGTAACCTAACCTAACCTTGATATACAACAACTTTATCTCGTATTTATTATTTTCAACTTTTACTGACATACGTAGGTAGATGTAAACATTTACCGGTAAAAGACGTATGCATTTACCGATTCTGTACTTTTACCGTTAAAATAAGATTTGTTTCAGTTATAAAATTAATTAAGTTTCTATTCCCCTATATGAATTTTCATTAACTTGAATCAAGATCACAAATCTAATATTAAAATGTCATTGTTTAATAACTTTGTTGCAAAGATTAAGTTTTTAATATTAATTTAACATATAAAAAAATACATAATATAAAAAAACACACAAAAGAAACGAATTTATATTAGTAATGTAACGAATTTGAATCAATAAATTCGTCTAGAAATAACAAATGATATTGCCCTGAGCTTGCATGAGAAAGCACCTTTTTCCGTGATCTTCGCAGTATTATTTGTTACCAATAATTGATCATCCCTCGTCTTGATATTTAATAGTCCGGTCTGTTCTTCTCGCTGATAGATTATTTTCTCGGAAACCAATTCAAGCTCAAAATCCCTCCATACATATTGTCACCGCAATCACCCAATTCGTTTCCATCGATCCCATCGAAGTGGATTCCATTCCACAGCCTCCACTCTTTTTTCTTCTTTGAACACTAATAAATAATTCACACACTCGTTTAATGAAATTTTCTATATTTACACATATTAAGTGAGTCGAACATTGCTTTGTTGCAATAATTATTATTTGTACTTGAGTCAAATGCAGTTGAAATTGAATTTGCATTAAAAAAAATGATTGAGTTGAAAGAGCACTTGATATTTAAAAATTCCCGGTAGATCATACAGAATACATTAAAACTGGAAACGGGTTAATGCATCTGTGATGATAGGGCAGTATCATTGTATGAAATAATCGCATCAAAAGGAATAAGCGCGCTTGCTTCAGTGACCTGTAAAATTCCATTTTCAATTCAAATGGTTATGAGTTTAATGGACTTTTCTGAAACATAAAAATGCATTAAATTATATCATTCAGTTGATATATAAAAAAAATAAGAGCTTATGTAATAAAATTTGAAACAATATAGTTACTATGTTTTAGAGCTTATCGATTTATCTTATTATTCATCTAACGTCTCCCCATATATAAGAGTATCATTTATTTGGGGAAAAATGATAAATTGCAGCTACAATTTTAGTTGGAATCAATATTTTCCCAGTGCAAGTTGTATTGTAGATTAAGCTATTATTAGAATACAGCATTGCACAAAGGGTCGTCTGTCGGTGGACACGACATTCATCGAGGCTCGATCCATAATTGCTGGTCCACATCTTTAATTAACGTTTCCAAAATTAGATATGTTAGCGCAAGGACACTAATTTCGCTGTAAATAAAGACATAATTACTGTGATGATTGTCACCATATACATTTTTTACGTTGAGTGTCTAATAGTGACAACTACTCGATTTGGACAAAAGTCCTTTTGAAGTGCACCATCACTCTCCGCTTGCAATTAGAGCGCGCGCCGAATTAATTAAAATCATTTCCACCTCGATACTTTCCTCTGCACACAATTAATAGTATGACGGTAATTCGATTAGCGCGATATAATATGGAATTTGCATGCATCCCCCCTATTAGTGTTCCCGAGTGAAAGGTTTTATTTTTATAATATGGTTTAGTTCGTTTTAATTTATAATTGTCATTGCAGGAAATCCGCGGAACAAATGCGCTCTTCAGCCGGGCCACTCGTTGATGGATTGGATCCGACTAGGATCATCCGGGAAGGATCTGACCGGCGTCGGAGCTGCGGCCGGGAATTTACCGGTGAGTGTCAAAATTTCGGTTGTCAATGTCTAGGTACACTTTGAATAAGAGTTGGAGAAATTCGAAATTATGTAAGAATATAGATCAGACAAAGGTTGCTACGATGGTCACGGAGTAGAGTCATGGTTAATTGTTGCATTTCAGGTGACGTTGGAGGAACTTCAGAAGCATGGAAGAGAAGGAGACGCATGGACTGCCATCCGAGGTAACGTCTACAACATCTCAGAATACCTATCATTCCATCCAGGAGGCGTTGATACCATCATGCAAGGTGCCGGGAAGGACGCCACCGAACTGTTCGAGGAAGTACAAGATTTTTTTAATAATATTTCTGTATACATTTTCAAACGATATCTTCGATTTCAGATTCATCCTTGGGTGAACTTTACCTCCATCCTGGCCAAGTGCCGAGTCGGTCCACTCGTTCAGTCGCCCAAGCACAGGGAGTCTGCGGTATTCCGCACGTCGAAGTCGGGTTTAGGAGGTGGTAGTCTTCCAGCGAACTACGTTTCCAAAGAAAACGCGGAGAAGATAAAGACGGATTGGATACAGAAAATTGACTCGGTCACGCTGAATTTCTACACGGGATCCCTCTCGAATCCTTACATCGAGGTGATGCCGCCTGTTCACGATTCCCTCCACGTGATCATTACCATGCCGCAAATGGTGCACGACTTCGTGTTCCAACTGTCCCAAGAAGTCCGATGGCCACCTCAACTCTACGTCAACTACGATACTGGAAGGGTGGACGTCATCTTCGAGAAAGTCATCAAGCAGATTTGGACTCACATCGGCACCACCAAGACCACCGTTAAACAGTTGAAGCATGGCTCTCAGTCGCCCATTCTCAAGGGATACACGTTGCTTCACAGAAAGAAACTCACTCATAATTGTTATTTTCTTGAACTCGCGAGGGCCGACGGCACAGTTCACAATTCCCCTCTAGGAAAACACGTTAAAGTCTTCAACAGTACGTAGAATAACGTAATTTGGTACATCAAACGTGATAATGATGATAATTTAGGTAACGAAGAGTCGCGCAGTTACACCACAGTTCCGAACATCATAGGAAGGAACTTCTCCACGAAAGCAATGCAAACGCAAAACCTTTGCTTACTCATAAAGAGCTACCCCAGAGGCGCCGTCAGCAGCTACGTCTGCTCCAGATCCGAGGAAGACTACATCGCATCAACGAATCCAATCGGATTGTTCGACTTGAAAACCATAGCCAAGAAAACCGTCTTTATATTTTTAGTGGGAGGCACAGGCATCACCCCCATGATGAACCTCAGCTTGTTCATGCTGCAACGGCGTAGCGTTCCATGGTAAAACGTCAAATTTTAATAATACTTTTGCTAATTCAAATTCTTTTCGCAGCGACAAAGTCTTAATCCTATTCTTCAACTCGCATGAAGAAGATATGTTCTTAAAGAAGGAACTCAAAAGCTTGGAATCCGAAGATCGCAGGTAAACTACAATAAATAATTTAATCAAATTGATTATAATTGACACAAACTTTTTCGCCAGGTTCACGATAGAGTTCATATTAACGCAACCGAAAAACGGATGGAAAGGTTTGAAGGGTCGCGTATCCGAAGAAATGCTGCTCATGGAGTTGTCCAAGTTACCGCAAAGGAGTATGTCTGAAAAGTTTTTTGCGATTTGCGGGCCCAAAGGTTTCATGGAGAGCTGCAATGAAATCCTGCAGACCAAGATGAAAGTGTCCGCCGAAGACATATACACGTTTCAAGGATAACATACTGTTACAGCAATAAAAAGAAAACCACTTCATTTTAATTTACTTCAATTTCGATGCAGGACCAAGTGGAAAACAACGAACTTCTCGTTGCCAAAGACATTGTTACGTTTATTCCAGGTACAACAATTATTCAGGGTATTTGTCTTCGATTAACACGGATTCATCAAAGATTAACAAACGGTTTAATTTCTTAGAATGCACAAAACTGAACTCGTAGAATCTATTGATAAGTATATTCTCATTATTATAGTATCCACGCTGTTTGTAAATCAATAAATCATCAGCGCGACAATCACTCTTTACGAACGCATCTTAGCGAATTTCACCAACATTATTGATAAAAAAACACATACATTCTGCATAAACCAAAACTTTCTTTTATCAAAGGAAGAAATAATTTCTATGCACTGCGAGGATCAGTAAATTCCAGTTATTTTCATATTTTGTTTTGCGAAGCACTACAAACTAAACCTATTTGTAAATTTTGTATAGAATCGGTGTATGAAAGCAAATTGTGAATATTATATATTTGTTTTATAAAAATACGTATTCGGTGTTTATTTTCGATTTGTCCCTCTCCTATTTCCAAGACCCAAATACACAGATGGTAGACTGTGGTTATGAAAATGCTAATCCGATGATAAAAATAATTGTCACGTTTCGATTATTTATTATACTCAAATATTTTGCGAGCCGCTGCGCTCATTTGCATACTTACTATATTTATAACTCGCACATCCTGCATTAATTATAACGAGACAATAATAACAACAATTGATGTTATGTATTTGGGTTTCATTTATTGTAATGGCATTCCTTAAGAAAACAAAAGAATTATTATTTATTAATATTTTCACGGAAATCAAGTGGCAGATTCTTAATAAAATATTTTGTTTTCTTTATCCAAATATATGCATGCTACTTGTTAAATTATGATTGTTTTTATAACTTCGCAATTACTTATACAAAAATATTGACAAGAACATAAACGAGTAAATCTATCAAAAAGTATCGATTGTTTCAGAAGCAATCCAAGAGTCGCGAATAACCAAATCTTGATGGAAATAATAAAAAATACCAAAAATTGGCTTTAAACTTTTTACTTACAAATCAGTTACGAAATTCAACCATAAGAATATTACAACATTGTATTTAAATATCAAATATGAAAAATTAATTAACAAAATATAAAAATTCTGGTAATTATAACAATACATTAAATATATTTATAGGTGTTAGTTTTGTTATAATAAAATAGTATGAATAATTAATCTCAAAACATTATTAACTTCATGTATTGTTATTTAATATTTTCAATTGGATTATTGTCACAACCTTTCCTGTTTCGAACTGTAAATTGTATGTGCTGAATGTGACACATACAAATTTGCATCTATTATATTCATGATGTTGCTAATTTCGATAAAGTACAAACACTGTTGAGGTAAAGCTGATTCCAATTCTAATAATGTTTACACAAGTCTAATTTCCGTCTGCAATACAGAAATACCAAACCTATAATTTATCATCTGATGTAATGTTATTTTGTCCACATACGACAATAAATTAACATAACAACCTTTAATTTGTATACCTAATAAATCCAATTATACAAAGTATGATTCAATTGAAACAATTATAAATGTATTTCGCAATTTAACTATTATAGCAATTAAAACGTGTATGACTATTTTATGCAAAACATGTTTTTTCTATTAATACAGTTCTCATATAATAGATAGTAATTACAGCTCGCTCGTTTCAATATTTTGAACTATTTTTCCTCAATTTCTTGTTTCGCTGATACACGCAATAAAAGTAGGCAGTAAAACTAATAAAATTTTATTTCAAATGAAACAGAAAAAGATATGCACTCTCGTTTCAATAAATGTTACAAACTGTAAATCGTAAATTGATATTGAATCCAGGATATTTATTACCTACGCGATAATAAAGTTATTATTGTCATTTTACATTTGTTAATCAATATTAAAAATTAAGTAAATAATCGTTCCAATCTATCCGTTAAATTCTAGCAGTGTTAACCGTATTTCTTATTAGTATAACTAAATATTTCGCCATAATCACTATACGCCTTAATACCTAATGGAAGATATGATTTCAAACAATCGTTTGTTTTACTGCGCTTACACAATATTTAGATTTTTCTGCTTCTATACATTAAATTGTAGTTGTTCACATTATAATAAACATACTGACACACGCACACAGAGTCATACGCAAAAATCGCAAAAGCAAGCACACACATTCATCTGCTAGTCCTATGCTCAATATCAATAAGAAGCAGTAATGATGCGACGCAACATAAATATTATTAAACGATGCAACATCACTGCGAATGCAAGGATCACTAAACATTAAAGGGTTTCGATACACAGCATAGTTAGTTTAAATAAATTAAAAAGAAAAAAAAATACATATATTGTACATATCCCTTCGAGACTAAGAACTGAAAACACAAATGAAGTGAAAACAAAGTAAAAATTGCATAAATATAAAACATAATTTAACTAATCAATAATCAAGTTTCTCTCTACTGCGCCCCGGCTAAACACCCAATTCATTATTATTTTTTTGGTCAATTTGGTCTTCCTTCGCGACGATGGTACGTGACAAATTAATAGAAATAAATAAAACTAGCAGCAAATCAGCTGAGTCTATCTCCTTGTTATAAACGGAAGAGCAGGCGTGAGGCTGCAGGCCAGAACGTACAAGACTCCGAGGAACAGATTCAGCTTCGCGGTTTCCTTCGGAACGTTCTGGATATTTTCGGAGCGGAACTGCTTCTCGATCTTGAATGCACTCGGAAGCGTCACGAGCGGCAGCAAAAACCATTTAGAGTACTTCAACGTCGCTACAACAAACATAATGTACGGTGTGAACAGCAGAAATGCGTATAGGAAATGCGATGCCGTATGACCAATCAATATGGCCAAAGTCACAATTCCCACTTTTTTGTCTGCCTCTGAATCTCTGGTGTTGTTGCTGTGGAGGATGGCTTCAGTGTTCAGAGCCAAGGGGATGGCATAGTACATGGTTGCCCATTCAACTCTTCCTGTTTGAGACATGAATGCAAAGAGGACTGATATGGGGCCAAAGATGACAAGAATTAACACATCTCCCAGTGCTATATACTTGAATCCAATGCCTCCTGTGTAGAGGAAGCTTGAGGATAAGCCACCAAAGTAGACCAATGCAAGGTGCTCCATTTTTGCAGGTGACAAAGCAGTCAGGAGTACAAAGCCAAGGCATCCTGCAAAGTAGAGAATAGCACCCAGGGACACCACCTCATCTTTACTCAGTATATGATCAACTAGTATCCTATCATCAGCTTTCTTGTTGTCTATCCCCTTTACATAATCATAATATGTATTCACTAGATTTCCAGCACCGTGCACACACACAACAGTGAACAGTGTTAGTAGTAATGTAATATAGTTAAAATCGCTTTCTCCTGGATGTTTGTAAGCAATTGTTGAACCCAGCAGGGTGGGCATTAGGCTGGCACTCAGAGACCAGGGCCTTAATGCCAGTACATAACTGTTCAGCTTCATTAAACCGGATCGAGAGTCGGCGCTCACTTTTTTAGCAGTAACGGTGCTTCCGTTCACAACTAACTTTTCACTTTCCACAGACATCTTTAGATTCTTGATTTTTTCAAATTTTTAGTCAACAACATTCACTTGTCAGGAGAAATGCCCCCAGCAAACATAACCTTTCTTTTGAACTCTGACAGATGACGTTTCTTTTTATATAGCTCAGCAACCCAAATCACACGTACTTTTGGCAGTGACATCACATATGGTTTGGATCAAGTCAAAAGTGCTGAATCTACGCCACCAGATGTACCCACCGTTCGATCATAGTTTGTTATTGCTTCATACACCTGTCAAAAATGTCAAGTTTGCATAAATCGCTGTTTCAATGCCATCAAATTATCCGTATTGTATTGTTTATTTAGCGCAATAACGTATAATATGCGCTGCATCTTACGTATTTAAACTACAGTTTTTAATACTTGTGATTGTAATAATTATAGTACCTTAAGGTAATTCAATTATGATTTTTAAGGGCATTATTGGTATTGTTCTGCTGCTCACAGTGGCGAACACCCAATTGTACACAGAAAACAAACCGAACGTTCATTTGCTTTGCCCACAACTGTATCACAGAGTATTTCGTGGGTGTATACCTAGGGGCAACACAACTGCAGGTAATTAAATTTCCATTGATGTAATGCTTTATCTGATCAACAAATGTTCAATTTTGTAGGGAAATACAGTGAAATTAATGACGTGAAAACAGCCAAAGAGTGTGTCTATGCTTGTTGTGTAAAAGAAGAATGCAATGTGGCTTTTATGACCACCACAAAGTGCTTCCATATAGAGTGTGCTAGCAATGAACTTTGTGTTCCTGTGCAAAATCCAAATATTGATGAAATAGATCAGCACATTAGTATGGTCCTTGTGAGGCCAGCACCTGGACAAGAGAGTTGGAAAGATGTGTTTGAAGATCAAGGTAACCAGGAATTATTTTTGTAAATGCAATTAAAACTAATCACAAACTATTTCTAGCTGAAATTTCCACTGAACATATTGGCCGTGAAATGTACAACATGATAAATAATAGACCTACAAATCACTATGATGATGTCTACAAAGACCTCCTGCAATTAAGTGAATCAGCCTTAGATTACAACACTGCTTGCAGTGTTGGTATTGGTGCCAGCTGCATTGAAAATGAAGAGTGTGTACAGAATTATCCTACTTCTAGAGCAGGAACTTGTAAATGCAAAGTGGGATTCTTGAGGAACCATGATGGTCTTTGCTCATTACCAATATTAAAAGACGCAGCCATAAAAGGAAACATCATAGATGACAATGATACTGTTTTAATTGCTAAAAAACAGTTGATGCTGACGGCTGAATCTAAAGAGGTGAAATTACCCGAAAACGAAGTTAGTTTGGTCGCTGTTGTCAATCCGCTACCGACGGCTGGTGAAAAGTTTAATTATGAATGGACATCACTAAGGAAGCCTGAAGGCAGTGGAGCTGTTAAGATTCAGAAGGCTGAGATCCTGCACTTGACGAAGTTATCCGAAGGATTGTATACATTCAAAGTTAACGTTTCTAGTGAAGATGCATATGGCGAAACCTTCGTCAATGTTACTGTTTTGCCACCGTCGAGAGTTAATAAACCGCCGCAGATTATCATCACCCCAGCCAATCAGACAATCAAATTACCAAATACCGGAGCCGTCTTGGATGCATCTTCTTCCACCGATGATAATGGTATCGTTTTATATCATTGGGAATTACAACAAGGACCTGTTGGTAAGATTTTGTTTGCATCTATCTGCGTATAATTCTAAATACGTTAATAACAGTTATACTGCAAAAAAGGGCGATATGCTGATTAATACACACCGCAAGAAATAATCAAATTGAATGAGTTGCATGTTTTTGTTTTATTTCCAGGAAACATTTGCAACATGCACTTTATCAATTTGAATTCAAAAATAGCAACGTATTTTTCTGCCCTACATTATCCTTATCTCATTGACACAAAATGCACATAATGAAACGTTCACAACATCATTAGTAAAAATAAATATTGTTAAATTATTTTTGAAAACGTTTTCTACATTCTTATTTGAAAATAATTCGTAAAATAACAATAAATATAATAATGAATTTTTAATGCGTGCAAAATCTTAATTGATCCAATTGTGAAAGTTGCTTTGTTATATCATTTATTTCCATTCACTTTCAATTATGTGTATTAAAGAGAAGGAGAATGTTAGTCATCAAAATCTTTTTAGATAAAAAATATTCTTATAACGTGTTTTCATTTTTATCACAATAATAAATTTATTATTTTTTGTTTAGGTTATCAACCTCAGTTAGCGGATGCTCCGACTCTACAGCTGAAGGATCTAACGAGACCGGGAAATTACACATTTAAATTAACAGTAACCGATACGGATAAGGCGATTAGCACTAGTACGGCCAATATAACGGTGCTGAAAGTCAAAGATTATCCACCAGACGCGAACGCCGGACAAGATGTAATCATCTACCTGCCGAAGAATCAAATAACGTTGAATGGCAATCTGAGCACTGACGACCATATGATCACCACATGGGAATGGACCAAGAGCTCGGACGACGCCGACAAAGCCGTTGATATGCAGGACACCCGCACACCGTACCTAAGGTTGTCAGATCTGGAGAAAGGCGTGTACACCTTTCAGTTAAAAGTCACGGATAGCGCTAATCAGAGCAGTACAGCTAGCGTTCACGTATTCGTTAAACCGCCAACAAATCAACCTCCTATCGCAAGAGCCGCAGATAACAATATCACAATAAGTTTACCGCAAACGTGGGTGGTTTTGGACGCCAGCAACAGCACGGACGATAACCACATCGTTTCTTACAATTGGGAGAAGCTGAATGGCCCTTCTAAAGTGGCATTTGTAAATGCTTCGACTCCAATCACCAATGTTACTAATCTCACCAAAGGACTGTACGTTTTTCGCGTCAATGTCACTGACGATGATACTAACCAAGCCTCCGCTATCCAATACGTTATAGTTAATCAAAGTAATCAATTTACTAATATCAAAAAAATGTTTATTATATCGAACATTTCGTTTTAGACAAGAATCAGAAACCTACGGCAAACGCAGGAGGTAATTTCGAGCTGGAACTGCCCAGAAACGTCGCCTACCTCAATGGCACAAAGTCGAGCGATGATTGGGCTATTGTTAAGTGGCAATGGACTCGCGTGGACTCCTCATTAGCTGCAGGAAGAATCGCTGAAGATTCAGACAAATCATCGATTCTCATCCTATCCGATCTCGTTCCCGGCAAATACATTTTCAATTTATCCGTTTCTGATGAGCAAGGTTTGTCCGACGTGGACAGCATCACCTTGACTGTAAAGAATGACGGAAAACTTTTTTACATGGTCGACATGACCGTTGATTACAATGTTAAGACATTAAACGAGGCCAGGTATAGGACTCTGGTCGGAAAATTGGCTCTACTCGTGCAGGACAATATGAAGCTGCAGGTGCGCGAACTGAAGCAGCAGACAGGAACTGGAAAAGCTATTATCAGTTTTTACGTGGAGGATGCCGAAGGAAAGCCGGTTGATGCCAACGAAGTTGTCAAACACTTGAGAGAAAAATTGAAAGTCGACGCTGGTTTGTTGGGTTTCTCTGTTTCATTACAGACTGCAATTTGCCAGAACAATTGTTCAGGACACGGAGTTTGCGAAGAAATCAGTCGTAAATGCATATGCGAAGCTTTTTGGATGCAGGTATGATTTACTTCATATCATCAATCAAAATAAATTAATGTCAATGTATGTTTTTTTTAGGATCTGTTTAAAGTGTATTTGCAAAAAGACGTGGATTCCGATTGCAGCTGGAGCATCCTATACGTGGTATTAGGACTGATTTGCTCCGTAATTGCTTTCATTGGTATAATCTGGGGATTGGTGTACCTCTGCTTTAGCTTCTGCTCGTACAAGAACATGCACAAACCGCAAACCTATAAACTAATAGAAGATACCGAAGATATGCCACCATGTAATGAATGACCTTTTAACACTTTCCCGTGATCTTCGATAATCTAACGGTTCAATTGATTGCAGATCATCCGAGGAAACCAGATTTGACGGACACGGACTCTGAATCGGATACGCTTTACGAGATTTCGCGTGGCAAAGGGCGGTTCGGAGGCGAAAGTAAGAACGGGTATAAACCAGGAAGGAACGCGTTCGGGAAGAGCCGCAGGGGAGTAAAAGCGTAATCGTCGAGCATCATACTTATTAAATATGCGTGTGCCTGCATTTTCCATTTCCTATTCGTTTAGTCCGGCTGAAATTGCTGGAGCAATTAACAGTTTTTTTTTTAAATTTGTTACCTAGTCAATTTTGAAAATTTTAATGCACAAGTATTGATTTTTTAGAATTCCTAAACGCGGTTCGCCGATCCGTGTATTTTGTACTTAATTTTTTTTTCTACTTTTACTTTCTAGATATAATCTTATCCAAGTATATTTTAATACAATATATAGTGATAACGAAACGAATATATTGCGAACTGTACATTCATGTAGTTGTACACTACCTCATCCATTACTGATTTAGTTATCGAATTTATTGTTTCCTTCTGCCATTATGATTTATACTAATTATATTTATAATAACAACACGTATTCATGTGACTTAAAGTTGAATAATATACGGAGGGATTCATATTTAATATTGTAATGAATAAAAATGATTAAGAAATTTACATTTGTTATTTATTTTCCATGCGATATTGGAAACGCGACTTTTCCTAGAACGAGTTTAAGCGAACTGTGGAAATACATATATCGGTTTACATGTAAAATACATTAGCGGTTTTCCAAAACATGTTCTGCATTCAATCAGCGCGAACTACTGAAAATAGCCTCTGTATAAACAATGGAATGGCTTAAATAAACAGTGAACTGTGCGAGATTCTTTTTGTTTAAATGTATTTATATGATCTTTTCAAAACGATAATGCGCTAAGCCAAGAGAGTTGTTCGGGTAGCATAACTTAATTAAACGATTTTAATTGCAATTAAAATTGTTTTCACACAAAGCGTGAAACGCAATTCAACTATAAATTATTATTATTAAGAAAATTAGTGATATTATTTAATTATAGATGGCAGTATCTTTCTATAATACTTCACATACATATTAATATACAAAATGATGCAATGATCGGCATGATAACATTTGATAATTTAGATTATTTCATATTCCGTATAGTTTCTTCATTAAGTGAAGTTCGAAGTTTAGTTATGTTCATTGATAGTTCATGATATTATACATATTGTTGTTGTTCTCATAAAATCCAATGAAATTTCTACATATAAGTTTGTTAAGTTTAATATTAAAAAGGTGCTTCAAATGTTAGTCTGTCCGATTTGAATGAGCATACATTATTTTATATTTCCAACATATTTGTTCCCATTTTCGTTTCCTGCACATTCAGAATCTGTTAATGGCCTCTTTATATTTTATAGCTTTGCGTCGCCTTAATTATATCTTTATTAGTTTAAAAAAAATGCATATCTGAAAGTGTTTCCAAGAAAATTATTTGCGAGAACGTCGCTCTCGTTTAATTATATTTAGCACTAATGTGCCAACGTTAATCAAACCTGTACAAAATCGTTCATAACTGTTAATCCCGATGATAATTAGAGACAAAACTATTAGAAATGCTTTCCATTGGTGCATTCGAATTGAATATTTAATGTTAGAAAGTAGTCGATGGACAAAAAATATAAATTTGATCAGATTAGATTTTCTTTTCATAAGTTGAACCAGTTCGTTAATAAATAATGAAATTACATTCGTAAACATTGCCTTGCGTCAGAGGTCTTCAACCTCCGATGTGCCATACCGAAATCTTCCTTCGATTTGCATTTCAAATGCGCCGCAACAAAAAGAAAATTATAATCGAAAATTGGTGATACCAATATTTGTTTGGTTTCCTGAACTTAGGGCGTCTTTGGTTGCACCCATGAACGTGAAACGAAATCGATTTCCGAGAATTGTAAGTTATGGACATTAACGGTATTGAAAATTCGATTTGGTATAATTTATTTTTCGTTTTGTTATAACATATTTTTTTTTTTCTGTTCGTTTGTTTCTTACTGGGACGGGAATACCAATCATGGTATACACTTCCGTCCGTCTAATACAATAACGAATCCACGACAGTTATGTGGTTTATTTACATAATTGTTGGGGCAAAGAAGTTTTGAGGACTGGTACGTAGGGTACCAATGGAATTGGATCTTCTTCATCTTGCGTGTGCGGCTGGTTTCGGTGGTATTTCAAGAAATTTTTGTATTGGAAATTGAAATTAAAACTAGTTTAGAAACTGAATTGTGGCCGGCAGGGTAGAGCAAGAAGAAGTATGTGACCCACTGACGCGCGTGTGACCCACAAACACATATGAGAAGGGAAAAGAAAAGAAGAAACAGAATCGTGAGCAAGGTCGCTTACGAATTATTCTTCACGGGCACGACACGCCGCTGCCACTTCCGACTCATTCCAAACGGTTTTTCCTATTGTTCGAAATATAAAAGAACGTTTTCTTTTTTATACACATTTTCCAATAGGAAAGCTAATGGCTCTGTATAAGTTTCAACGTATGTTTTTTTTTTTAAACTTTACATATTTTTTAATAAATTAAAAGATCCAACAAATGTTGATGATATTCCTACTTATTAAATCCAAATTAATGCACATCTTATTACAAGTTTTGGTTTTAAGAATTTCATATTTTTGCAATATATTTTATACATTTTCCAATAGAAAACCGTCTAGAATTGAAGCATCATCAAATTTTTATATATTATTTTACAACTCAAAGATACTAACAACATCCAATTGAAGAAAAGTGTAATTTTTTGATCCTAAATATTGATGAAATTGATTTTAATTAAATATATAAATGGTAACTAACTTTGTAATATAAAATTGTATATAATTTTCTTATTCAATAAAATTTTCTCAATTTTACATTGAATTTAATATTTTTTTCATTATTATAATTAAATACAACAGATATCTTAATAAATGAAATGATCAAAAACTTCGTGATATTTCCAACAAAGTAAATCTATTAATATATAATAAAATGCATAAAATGTGAATATTTTTAAGAAAACTGACCTTAATCCGATTTTAAAAGAAAGTCCATGCAATTATGAGTATAAAAAAACATAAGATAATGATTACTTAATGATATGTAAAAGTGTTTTCTGTACTAGAAACGCAAAAACTATGATCTATTGATATTAAAATCAGTAAAAGTTCTGAGAATGAGAGGAATCAAAACTAAATTAATTAACTTTCGTGTTTAATTTGAAATTCAAATTCATCCGAAATTCCAACGATATTAATGACTCACGCGTATTCCACAGATGTTACTAACATAAATAGCGAGCAATTGGTCCATACAAATCATCAACCGTAAGCAGGTCAGTACTTATATATACAGGTTACATATGCATTTTAAAATTTTCAGTTTTACAGCTTAAATGTTTAAGCATGGATTTACGTTACAAGATTTTGTATTAATTACGTGATACGTGGCAAGTTACTTGTTATGAACTAAGTATTCAATGGAGAATTGAGCTATACATATAATAATATTTAGTTTAATATTAAAATTTTATAGACAAGTTACTTAGAAAATGAATAATAAAGTAATGTATTTAAGATATTTTGATTCTTTTGATTTTCTTTACAATGTTCACAATATAGAAGATTAATTAATTTAAAATATTTAAATTCCTTTTTATTCATTAGAATTTTACAAGGACACGAAGGTTACAGGAATACATGAATAATAATAATAAATAAAAGGTCTTAAAGATGAGGAAGAGTACACGGATAAAGTTGAACTTGAGTTAAGCGTAGAAACTTGGAGGTCACGACTCCGGTATAACCACATCTTAGCTTATAAATGTTCCAAGATTTCACTACATAAATATTATCGTGTTAATCTTCATCGTATTTAGACCACGTTCAAAAATAAATATGAGATTAGCATATCCATAAAAAATTTGATAATATTATATCACTTCCATTTTTTTTTCCATTGTTGTAGATGTCATTTATCTGATGAATTAGTAGTTTTATCTTGTACGATGGATTAAGGAGGATTGAGGTGGATTTCCAGGAAACCGGAATGAAAAACGAGGCGGCATCTCGCACGCAACTTTCATTTGTAGCATCGACCCGATAATTGTTGTGTGGATGTGTTTTAGAAAAGTAAAAGAATCGCATTTGTGGTCCGATAAAATAAAGAGGAAAAAAATATATATAGAAAGAAAAGAAAAGCAACAACAACCAAAAAAATGTGGATGGGAAAGTTCTTCGTAGGTGTAATATTGAAATTACCAAACGATTCTTCGTTCCACAACAACCGAAAGTGCTAAATGTAGTTTTTACTGAGGAGCGTTACGAGCACTTTTCTAATATCGAAAACGTTTTAGTAGATTGATATAGCTTTGTTGTTTGGAATTGTAATTTTATTAACATCTATTTATTGTAATTAATTAAGTATTTGTAATAAATTCGATTGAAATTTCTAGAAATAATGATTCAAATTGTATTGTTGTGTTCAACAGTACAATTTCTTATTAACGCACATCTATGTATGCAAGTTAGACGCTAGATATCACTGCAAGATGCAGAATAAATAGCTTTCATTGAGGGTAGTGGCCGATTGAAATATGTCTTTTATTTGTGATTTTTCGGTTTAAACTGGTTTTGTAGACAAGTTGAAATTCGAAAACCGGTTTTTTTTTAGGTCGGTTTTTGTATAAACCCTAAGCAGTTTCCATAAAGAAGCAGTAACCTAAAGCATACTAAACATACTGTACTCCTCAATATAATCTCGCTTGAAATTCATACAAATAATGATTCAAATTGTATTAATTTCTTATCAACGCACATCTATGTATGCAAATTAGACGCTGGTTATCAGTGCAAGATTCAGAATAGATTCCATCGAGCGTAGTAGCCAATTGAAACTTATCTTTTATATTTTGAACAGAAAACCAATGTACAGAATAAACAGATTTAGGGTTTTCGGTTTAAACCGGTTATGTAGACAAGTTGAAATTAGAAAACCGTTTTTTTTTAAGTAAACAGATTCCTTAAAGAAGCAGCGACCTAAAGCATACTAAACATAATCTACTCCTCAATATTATTTAATTAGTCTTAGGGAAGAACAATCGCCAAATTAAGAATAAAGTTATAAAAAAAACAAATGAATTTAATTAAAAATTTTGTATTTCTACAGTAACCTGATTTTCCATACCTGGGAAAGTATTATAAAACTTCTTTATTGTTGGTTCTTAGAATTATATCCATTATTGATAAGTTTTTATCATTTCAATAAAAATATTACTATATAAAAAAAATGCAATGTTTCAACAACTTCGAAATGTTCATATGTTGAAATCATTTGAAAATCAATTGCCTTTATGGAGTATTTCATTCTTAATTTAATAAACAATTTTAAAATCACGTAATTTTATAAAATTGATAAAGTTGTAGCAATAAATTCATTTGTGCAAGCAATAGAACAATATTAAATAAATTATACAACAATATCGCGCCAGAAAACTAGTGACCATAAACATTTCGCACATGAAAACATAAATAATGCAACCGCGTTCTGTTTGAACGTGTTTATTTATGAATCCTCCGACACAGAAAAACGTCATTTCGAAACGAGTTTAAGCAGAACGAAAATCATTGTTATCGAACCAATTGGATTTCTACTTTTTTTTTCGCGTTCAAAACGTCGCCGTATGTTTTATTTATTTTCATATAGGTATTTTTTTTTCTATATTGGTAAAACATTTAGTATCGTCTTTATAAAGAAACATTAACAGTTAAGAAGAAGAAAAAAAAACAGAACACGACGTTAACTGTTATTGTAAGTTCTAACATGTGTGCATATTACATGTAACATATTTGTAATGAAATGGACACACACGAATGAAAAAAAAACAAACGTTAAGTTTTGAGTGAGTCATTGATGTTTTATCAAAAATAATATTTGTTAATATGCAGTTATTATATTTAAGAAATTTTTGGGTTTTATTAAAATTACTGTAGTTTTTCGATTCTTTCTCTAAAGCAGTGATTCCCAAAAGTGGGCGCTACCGTCGTCTGGTGGACGCTGCAGCGATCCAGAGGGCGGTGATAGCCACAGGTGCATTTGGGGGCGATGAATAACTGTAAGGGGGCGGTGAAAGCATAAAAAAGAAGAGAAGAATTAGAAAAAATGATTTCTAGGGGACGCCGAGTATTTTTTTTCTGAAGGGGGGGCGGTAGGCCAAATACGTTTGGGAACCACTGCTCTAAAGTTAGGAAACAATTTTTAGATCGAATATTTTGTTACATAAAATACTAAATTCTTAGTTGATTTCTCTGCAATTTATAGATTGAATATTGATATTTTTATAAAGTTAAGTTTTGTGTATTTATTAAGTATTAATTTATTGAAGAAATCTTATCAAAATGATAATTATCTGTTAATTATTTACAATATCTTGTAATAAATAACTTATAAAGTTAATGAAATATTTGTAAAGAAACTAAATGATATTTTGTTGAAATGCATTCCAATAAACTTTAAGAATGTTTGTACAGGAAAGTCGCTGATAGATATTTAGTTGAGTTTATTGAAGATTGGTTAAAACGCGCAATCGATTATAATTTGAAAATAAACAAGTGGAGAAAGGCAATTAAAATGAAATTGTGTAAAATCAACACTGCTTCGAACAAGAACAAGCGTTAAGCAAATAAAGATTTGCGACTGCATGAATGGACAATTATTCAAAGTGTTTTGACATGGTTTGGAGGTGCGCGCAACTCTTTCTTTTATCGCGAAACCGAAGAGGCGTCGTCGTCGTTCTGATTTTCAAAATAATTAATTGTTATTTAAATGAACGATACCAAAAAAGACAAACAAAAAAAATGAGAATGAAAGACAAAGAGTTTGAAAACGAGGAGAGGTGTCCGAATTTTTGAAGAGTCAATTTAGTATTCCGGAACAATTTCGTGCTTTGTCGCGCATGGAAATGCCCGTGTGTGTCGAAGGCATACGTTCGTTCTGGTGGGTCGCGGAGGAATTCACCGATGCGGACAATCTAGTCACCAAGCATATTGCTGTGCATGTGCCATTTTCGATGTCATATAACCGAGGAATGCCATAATGAATCTGTGATTATAAATGCGATATGAATATTTCCGAACCGTTATTATTATTGAATCGATCGGTCGGTCGGTCTTCGTTGGCGAGGCGGACGAAAAAAAGAAAGAACAAAAAAAATGAGCGGAGAAAACTTTCTCCTCTGTCTAGGTCGAGAACGTTCGATCGCACCAAGAATAAGAAAGAGGAAATAACAACGAAAGAAAGAAGAAGAAAAAAAAAAGGGTATCGAACGAACGAACGAGATGTAGAAGAAGGCTAGCAAGGTGATGAAGAAGAGGAACGTGATCAACAGGATGAGAGAAGCGCTCATCCTCGTTTGTATTTTGAAAAACGAAATCGTGCACACTCTTATTGGTGATGCGCTATCTCTTTATGGATGGAATAAGAATAAGAACTCGATGTACTTGACAAACAAGATTCGGCTCTTCGGTTATTGAAAAACGAAAACATCGTCTTCTAACCGCAAGCGACGTGGAGATAATGAAGTGCACTTTGGAGGCGAACAAACTTAACAAACGAGTTACATCTAATTCCACCTGAATTCAGAACGAGAAACTGTTTTCGTTTTAAAGCAAAATTTTCTATTATTGACACAGAAAATACTTGCATCCAAAAAGATTCTCATTTTTTCTAAATTGTTTAATTCAACTATTTTCTATTAATCGCCACAAGTTGAATTGGTAATATCTAAAATCAAAAGTATACATCCAATATTGTCATCTCTATTATAAATAATATAAACTTATTATGATTATTTCATTGAATTCGTATTAATTTTAGTTTTAGTTAATTATTGAATATGCAAATTAGTGAATATCAAAATATTATAGATTTCGATAGTTATTTAATATAATTAAAATTATAAATATAATACTAATTATTAAATTATTCAATATGAAGTTGAATAAAAAACATCAAGACGAATTTCCAATTAGTTTCCAATTATGTATAATTATAAATATTTAATAATAATGCTATCTATCAGTAATAGAAATTGTATTAATTTGATCTAGATCTATTAATACATTATGACAAAAGTTAAGGTAAATTGGGATTGTTAACATTTTGATGTAATGAAGATTCCTTAAAAGTATTTACAAACATGGGAAGTGCGTTGGATGGTTTCTGCTAATTGCGAATTTCTTCTTGTCGATGAGATGCTAATAGTATGTCATACACAGGCAGCAAGCAATATTTTTTTTTTGTATCCTTAAATTTTCTTTCTGTGAAATTAATTTGGAGGCATGTACACATATGAAGAACGACGAGGAAGAGGAGGAGAAGGAGGAGTCTCTTACATACACCTATATATATGTTTATAAAAGCGGTGGCTTCCTCCAAGAGTGACGTCAGTCCTGGTATAAGAGGAGTATTCTGTACAAACGACCTGTTAGTCGATTCCGCTCCGGAGCGGTCAGCACCGGTCAATAGCTTTGCGTTGTTAATAACAAGTGACCCAATCACCGATTTTATCAGTGCCTAAACATTTGCCGAAAATATACACACACACAGAAAATAAGTGATAGAAGACTGTAATCGTACGACGAGCGAACCAAATATTATCAAACGTAAGTAGTAGCAAAAAGTGATTTATGAATGCGCGGTTCTTGGTTGCACGCAAAAAAAATAGCGCAATCAGAGCAGAGCTCCGTTAGTCGGATTTATTGTTATAGACTTTGCAATTTTGCAGAATCACGATGAGGATATTACTGTTGGCGGCTGCTGCCGTGTGCCTCTGCGCAATTTACGTAAAAGCCGGTCCAATTAATGCCGATGCGTTGGTACAAGAGGAAGGCAAGAAGCAGGAGGATGCGACGGGTGTCTTTGTAACACCGGTTTCGACGGAAGTTAAAGAAACTGAAGTTAAGGTCGAAGAATCCAAGGAAGTTGCCAAAGCCACAGGAAGACAATCGACGTCGTCTTCGGACGATGATGATGATGACGACGACGATGACGATGATGACTTGGACTTGGGCGTCGACGATGATGATGATGACGACGACGATGATGATGATTCTCCTGCCGATGATGATGACGATGACGACGATGATGATGAGGACTACTTCGAACGTTTCTTCGATGACATCCTAGGAGGTAGGATTTTTTTTAAATTGATGTAACCTTTCAATGTATCTAATTAATTTGTTTGAAATTTATAGAGGACGATGATGATGATGACGATGATGATGATGTATCCCCGTCCACCGGATTGACGCAGCCCGTGGAGAGCGTACCGGAATCCCCAGTTGTACCTGAATCATCGATCGCCGATGAAGCCGACGAGAGTTTAGCCGGTGAGACAGACAGTCCTTTATCCGCTGAAAGCGATTCTTCCGTCGTTGACAAAGACCCCACCGAGGTGGCCGCTTCGAACGTTGTGGCGCAGCCTGTTGTCGTCGCTCCGGTACCGGAGAACGACGAGGCTGAAGACGATGACGATGACGACGATGACGATGACTTAGACGATATTACCGGTGACGATGACGATGACGACGATGATGATGATGATACCGCCGCTGACGACGACGATGATGATGATGATGACGATGAAACGGACCTCGACGACGTCATCGAAGCCAAACGTTCACGTGAGTCGAAATCCAGTAAAACACATCACAAGAAAAACAAATCACGTAACCACCAACACAAATCGAGAAAATCGAACAAAGTGCGATAGAAATAGGAAGCAATACCTCATCCCCAACTCTACTACACCCCTTTTTTTTTTTTCTAAGAATCTAAAAAAAAAAACAACAACAACATGAAAACCAACAATGAATTCTACGCTCAATTCTAATTTATTTATTTATTTAATTATTTATTTGCCGAGTAAACGTGAGAAAGAGTTTGTGAGAGAATGTCCTTATTTAAAAAAAAAAAAATAATAAAGGAACTTAGTTGCATTAAACTAGGTACATGTCGCACATGTTTATATGGTGGCAATCTTCTTTTGCAAAAGAATATTCCTCGTTAGTTACTTTGTATAATGTATCAAATAACACGCACAATCTGTACAAATTGCGGTATCGATTGGAAAATTTTATTTTTGAAATTTAGATTTATTTATTAAAAGTAAACCAAAAAAAAAAACAACTTTGTTTTATTTATTGACTTCTTTCTGATATAATATGTTACCTTGTAAATAACAATTGTTTTATGTTGTGACATTTATCTAGGCCTAATGCATATAGTAATTTAAATAACGATTAACCAAGTTTTGCATGTGTCTTGTTGCATTAAAATTAATTTAATAATTAATCTATTATTGGTGGTTGGGCTGGGATTCGGTGGAAGCATGATCATTTTCTTAATGATGTGACAATAATCCTTTTAATTTTTGCAGCATTGTTGTGTTTTTGTTTTGTTTTTATTTATTTTTTTCGTTTTTGTACGATTGATGGAAATTGTCTTGGTGGTTTCTAATTAAAAAATAAAATAATAATAATGGTAAGTGATGTTGTTTCTTTGTTATTATTGAATGCATTAATAGCATGGAGTCTGAGTTTTACTGAAAGGCATGCAAAGGTCTTAGTTTATTGGATTTCGGTTCTGTGATTATGACAGTTGTAGTTTGTAGTTGATTAGTTTTAGAACTGTAGCATTAAGTATATAATAAGTAGTGGTATTAACAGCTAGGAATTAGTGGAAATGGCGGTAGTCTAATGTATTTTCCGCAGGTTTATTCAAATGTACTGTACATTGAATGAGAGACTTAATGATAATGCGGCAATTAGACATTAATGATGTGTGGTGGTGTGGTATTTGGTAACGGTACCTCGAGTTTTCTCGATCGGGTCACTGGCCATACCAGGTCATGGTCATTTACCCACATATATAAACACCACACAAACAGACACATATACTCACTTACATACAACAAGTACAAATTCTTAATAATTCCCAAAACATATATAAGAAGTTGACATCAACTACCAAAAAAAAAGAACACTTGTTTGCAGAACAATTTAACGTTCATGACAATAAAGAAACAAGTTACAAACGGTCTCCAAACCAAAGTTCACTTCTTCGCATCCAAAAAAAAATTAATAATAGGTAATACCAATAAAATCTATAATAACGACCGGTGAACAGTTATTAACGGAATCGATGGAAATTTGCTAAATGCGATGAAGTGAAAACAAACTAATAACGCGAGATGATGGAAAAGAGAAATTTTAGGCGCGCTCCGTCCGTTTTGGGAACGGTCAGGTTCAAGGTAATCGTGTGATGATAAATGGGGACACGAATGTCCTGCGGCCGTTCGACTAATGAATTGTTATTAAGTTTCATTTGATCGGAGTGCGTCTTTGTGGAGATGCGTCGCGCTAGGAAGAAACGTTGCGGCAGGTGGAATGATGTTGATGATGGTGATGATGACGATGACCTCGGATCTCGCGCACCAAACAAGAAAGTCATGTAACAAGGCCATTGGGTGACCTACTTCACTTCACCTACCGACAACCGTTCCATTAAAGAGACGTGATTATCCACTTAATTATCTCCGAGAAGCAACAGTAGATAATTAAGCTCTGCATTATTACAACAAATTTCTTTTCGTATAATAATGATAATAATAATAATATTAAAAAAAAATAACAACAACAACAAATCAAATAACATTCTGAATGTAGAAAGCATTTTTAACGTAATGTGGTGATGCAGGTGCACTGCAGCAGCAATCGGTGCAGCAGCATCCAGCATCCCAGACGCAGACACGGATGCCGCAGGTTTACATCTCGAAATACAACCGATTCGTAGACAACATCCTGGGTCGCATAAACAGGATCCTAGGGAAATCCTATGACCCGGTTCGAGTGAAACTGACTCAGCCGACCGAAACCAACAAGAACAAGACGAAGAAGACCAAGAACACGACCAACAAGCGTAAATCAAACAAGACCAAGAAACCTTTGAGGGCCACCAACAAGATGGGTGACACGGAGATCGCCAGAGCGACGGAAAGCGAATCGCGCGAACCAGCTTTCATCCTCATCTCCAAAGCGAGCGACATCACAAAAACGGTGCCTATTAAGAACGTTACATTAGAAGTAAGAGCGAGTCCGAGCACAGGCAACAAGAAGAAGAACAAAACTAAGAACAAGACCAAGAGCGGAAGCGGAAGCAACAAGAAGCAGGCTACGAGAGCGAGGGCGACTTTGTTCGGTCTGAGTACCCTCAGAAGGGAAGGTGATGTCGCTGTTAACATGATGAGGGACTATACTACAGTCAAAACTAACTTCTTTTTGGGACCGCTCACTTTGAGGGTGGAGAAAGAAGTAAATATGCGAAACGTTTCTTTCAGATAAAGTTGTAATAATCGCGATGATTTCAGTTCGGAAGGGGCGCCAAGCGCGAACTGAAGAGCGCCACAGCAACCACCGCTGAAATGATTGGTAAATTGAACTTGAGAATCGTACATGGAGGTGCAGCCACTTTGCATTCCATCAAAGTTCTGCAACCAAAGCAAGTAAGTAAAAAGGTAACTACACAAATCAGTAAATTACATTCACTTAAATAAAAATTCTAATAATTAATACAATTAAAAAATAAACAAATATATTCACTCAGCAAGGACATTAAACGTAAAATTGAGTAATTTTCTTAGAAATTCAAAGCTTCTTTTAAATCAAGGTTAAAAATAATTAAATAGAAACTTATATTAATTTGATTTACGTTTTTATTATTATAATAAAATATTTCTTAATAATTTTTTGAAAGGATGTTGAAAATTGGAGGATGCGACGGGTCAATACTTTGATTTAATTTAATTCATGGCCGATCTTCAAGAGTAAATTATAAACGTAGAAAAGTTACTTTCATAACAGGAAATTTCTTAACATCTTATAATATTAACAATATAATTAAATTTTATAATAATCACATACACATTGCTTCTTCTAATTTATGACTTTAATTTTTTAAAAAGATCATCTGTAATAAGGAAAACTAAATGTATGTTTAAATACTGAAAATTAACTATTAAAGACAAATATTTCAAATTATCTTCATAAAATTATAATAGTTATAGTTTACTATTGTATTTTAAACACAAGTAGGTAATGATCACCTCGAAACAAACAATTTAATTAACTGAATATCAACATGTTATGTTTAGAATGATTCAACATTATTATTTTCACTATGATGTCGAAATGGCCGCTGCTGGATGTTTGTAATTGTGATTTTTTTTCAATCGCATTGTAATTACACCAAATTGGTCAATCGTAACTAATATTCAATTCAATTAAGGGAGATTTAACAACTCGATAAAATATCATAGTTCAATTTATGTTTGATTATTACCAAATATATTTGTTTCTTTATTACTATTTACATATATGATACAAATAGTAATTGTTGATTGGACACAAATAATTACTAAAAAGATAATTAAATCTTGAGCTGTTATAGACTTCTAATATTCATTTAAAATGAAACTATGGTGAGAATAGTAAGTCTTAATGTTCTCAACTAGAGATGAGCAAATTAAATAGTTGTTGTACTTAATTTGCTGTACTTAGAATATATATAAATACAATATTTAGAATATTGAACTACATGAATTAACTATTTTCAGATGAGAGTTGATAGTGCAGATAACCATGAGAAGACCAAGGAATATATGTGGAAGAGGAGCTCGCACATAGCTTCCGTGGTATCGAAGAAGCTTGCGTCGGCAGCGCGGTCCATGCTGAAACCCCCACCGAAAGCACCATGAAGGCAAACGCCCACGCCTAAAATCACCAAAACATACAACTAACATTTATTTATGTATCTCATCCAGTTTTGCCTGTATTATTTATTTATTTATTGTGGGTATCCCTTTATTTATTAGTGTATTTATGAGCTGAACGCTCGAATTGAAATAAAGACTAGATATTTTACTTGAATCGCATACATCTAATAAACATGATAAACAACAATAATTTTCTTCAATTCGATGAAGAAAGTTGGACAAGGATTGAAAAATCAGTATAGACATTTTGTTGAAATTTAGTGAAGGTATTAAATAATTAATTTATAGAAAACGTTTAGTTCTAAATCTTTGTAATCTAACAATGTTAGATAAATTTGAAATAATGAAGGTATCTTATATTAGACAACAAATCCTATACAGTGGAACCTCGCTTAACGAGCATTTCGCTTAACAAGCAAAATTAATTATAAGAAAAATTACTCGCTTAACGAGCGATGTTTCACATAACGAGAGAGATGATGCGCGTCTGCTACATCATTTTTAAAACTTGTGTACGCATATTATGTATATTTTTGAATATGTTTCACTAGATGAGTAAAAATTCGGAAATTTTAGAACGGATTAAACTGGTTAAGCGAGGTTCCGCTGTATATTATATACATGTTGATTGTGTCTCTATAGTAGATGATGCTAACAAAAAAATGAAAAAAAGAATGTAAAGTTTGTTCCTTGTAGGGTAATGATATAATCAGATAGTCGAAACGAAATTAATTTCGTTCCGGTTTACGGTTACGTTCCAAGTAAACCAAGTAAACAGCTTCAATTTCGGTTCGTCTAAAAATTTCGATTTAGTTTGGATTCGGTTCCGGTTCAGTTGCGGTTGAAATTAAAATTTAAAATCGAAAAAAAAAGCAATTTTGGTTTAATTTTATTTACAAATTTCCAGTTATAAAATTGAAAATACAAAAGAAATAAACCTTAATTAATGACTAGTTCAATACATGCACTTTGTAATGTTTATTTACTCTATTAACAATATACCGACCAACATAATGTCCAAAACATATTTTTTTTGAATGTCTATATAAATAAACATTAGCACCGGCGATTATGAATTAATTTAATGAAAAAACAAATGAACCGAAATTATACATAATTATCGTTCCGAGTTCTGTTTCGGTTTTTCCATTGAGCAATTTTTTTGTTCCGGTTTCAGTTACGATTCAGTTAAAAATTCCGGTTAATTTCGGTTTACGGTTCTGTTCTGAATATAATATAATTGAAATAAGATATAGATTTGGTGAAATCTCTGTAATCTTCTAATGAACGACGATTAGACAACAATACACATATTGTTTTCATGTATGTATATGTTTTTTAATGAGGTATTGGATAACAGATATTTTGATTCTTTCGATGAATGATGGTAGGCAACCAGAGTTTCACCCTAACTCGGGGTGGGCCGAGCAGCAGAACGGCGCATGCAATTCGAACTTGTTCCTGCGTGTTCCGCTCATCGATATATTTCGTGCATCTGTGTGTTCGTGTGTGGGACGAGTACGGAGACCGCAGTATACCGCAAATAAAGTGAGGAGAGGAAGAGAGAAGAAAAACAAAAAAGTAATAAAACAAGAGGAAAGTAGCCGCAGCCAGTGAAAGAGTATCCAGTATTTATAAATCCGCACAAATAACTTTAGTTAATAAGCTTCGCATCAACGTAAACAATGTAAGTAAACGAATCCGCTGAATCGAATTGGATAAAAATAAAATCGATATGCCTCATAAGCAGTAAAAAAACCCATAGTGTGTATTTCGCGACTGAGCTTATGAAATATAGACGGCTATATTATACGTATGAGTAATACCGGTGCAAATTCTATTATCTCGTAAAAAAAAAAATATAAGCAACTCGAATTATTTATCTCTTCTTATCAACATCCTCCCGTATCTACTTCTCTCTCAGTCCCTCTCACGCACTAGTATTATTGTGGAAATACTATAATTTTACATAGTTGGCAGAAACTCTAATATTAGACCCCAACTGAGGAACACACCCCAAAGTGACATTTTTTTGAAAATAAAAAGTAGATAGAACCCCTCTGTTTTTAAACCACACTAACTAGAAGAAACCTCAGAATGTCTGAAGGTGAGCCAGTTTCCACCCCTGAAGGAGTCGACAATGAGATCGAGTCTAGCTACAAGCCTCCACCAGAAAAGTCAATTGAAGAGATCCTGGCTGCTGATCAGGAGGATGAGAGCCTCAGGAAATACAAAGAAACCTTGCTAGGCAACGCCCAATCGGGTGTAGTGATTGTTGGTGAGTTTTCTCATTGTTACCAGGTTAGGTCTGGGTATATGGATACCTTGCACCAAAAAAGGTGTGTTATTCACTTTGCATATTAAATTGCAGAGCCTGACAATCCACGTCGTGTTATTGTTAAGAAGCTTGTTCTTGTGGTTGCTGATAGGCCAGAGATTGCCTTAGACCTGTCTGGTGATTTGAGCAAACTGAAAAAGGAGACTTTTGTCATCAAGGAGGGAGTGTCTTACAAGATTCGCATAGAGTTCCTGGTGCAAAGGGAGATTGTTCACGGACTGAAGTATGTCCAGAAGACATACAGAATGGCTGTTCCAGGTAAATATGCTTGAAATTGCACTTTACTCATTGTTGTGTTAAATTTCAACATTTGTTGTTTATCCTTTTTTTTTTAATGTGGCCAGGATTGACTGATCCAGGTATATATTGTATTAACTGATATTGTTAATATCAGTAAAAGAATGGTTAATCTGATTGTGTTAATTACAGTGGACAAGATGGCCCACATGGTGGGTTCCTACGCTCCGAAAACGGAGATGCAATCATACACCACCCCATCGGAGGACGCCCCGAGCGGAATGATGGCCAGGGGTTCCTACGTAGTTCAATCCTTATTCACCGACGATGACAAAAATGAACACTTGAAATGGGAGTGGACGTTCGAGATTAAGAAGGATTGGAAAGATTAGAGTGGAGGATATTTTTTAAGCAAAACAAAGAAAAGAAAATCGTAAGGGAGGAAACATCAGAAATAAAAGAGAGAGACATCAAAGATTATAATTATTATTATTACTATTATTATTTCTAGTAATTTAAGATTAAAACCAAGTATTTTTCGCTTGCTCCTAATAATTATATAATCATATATTTGAAAACAAATAACCTTTTGATCCATTTACACGTATTTTTAAATGAGACAATTTATAGAAGAATATATTATATCCTTAAAGAATATGCCTTAAACATGAACGTAACTACTAACTTTCGTTTTATAAATCCAGAAACCAAAATATCCTCTTCCAAGAACCAGGGAAAAAGTTAGTGTGTGTGTGAGTGACTATATCTTATTTCTTAAGTTATAAATATATATATTGTGTAAAAGTATGTTATCCTCTTTGCTCAAAATGGTATTCTGAGAAAATGGAAATAATTATTTAAAGAAACAAGATGGAGACAAAAAAAACAAGAGAGAATATTTTTGCATTTGTGGCTTCCTCAATGAAACTGTTCAGCATTTCAAGTAGACTGCTTTAAATTATGTGAAAACAAAATCTTTAATTTCGTGTAACAATTATATAGAATATAGAGATTGTAATTTGTTTTGTATCATTACGTTCTTATTACAATATAAATGTCATAGATAAAATCATTTTATATTTTATTTACCTTGCCCTATACAATTTTACATATCTAGTTTTCATATATATATATATTGTACAATCATCATATATTCTTCATATACTATTAATTGCTATTTGTATATACAAAACTTTCAGATGTTTTCATTTCATATAGGAAAGGGAAATAATATACAATCACTGAGGTGATTACATAGAGTACCACATCTTTTATTTATATTTGATACAGTTCATATAAAAAATTTTAAACTTAATGTTTTACCTTACAAAAAACTTACACATACGTAAATAAAATCAAATCTGCACAATTTTCATTGTTCATCTTATCATTATTGGATTTAGCCTATACTACTATAATAAACGCAAGTCTTTCTCAAATCAAATATATACAAAACACAATTATAATTATAATAAATCTATACACAATTTGTAGTTTGTTTCATATTTCTGTTCTGTTTATTTATTACATATATCATTATTTTTTGTTAATTTTTAATTTAAGATTGGCAGTTTCCATTTCACTTTCTTTATTGTTTATGAGGGGGGGAAAAATAATTGTATAAGCCCAAATCACAATTGCACTAAATAAAATATAAATGAAGAAAAAGAGAATTAATTGAAATACCTTAAGTAGATTTGGATCTCTCTGCTTTCCAAGATCTTATCCTCTCCTTCAACTCAGTAGCTGGTGGAAAAAAAAAGAGATAACAAAATTATATTATGATGTTGTGTTATGGAAATGTTCGTTGATATTTACCTGGTACAAGCATGTCTTCAGTCAAATGTTGCCTATTGAAGGGATCAGTGCTGCTATTTAGTAAATGCCTCATTATAACGGAACGGTCCATGATGAGACCACTCGGCAATAGTACAGGATCGGTCATCACAGTCATCATCAAAGGATCTTTGAACTCGTCGGGAGCGTCGTTCATCCAGTCTTCGGATTTCTGATTATCCTCCAGTATCTGTTGTGCCTTCGATGACAGAGTCCTGAATTGCTCCAACTCTACGCCCGACTTTATGGTGGATCTCTCCATCCTGGTCACGGCATCATCGAATAGTTCTCTGCTGAAAGAACGTTCGTCGCCAGCGATTGCCCTTGCAAAATCTTCGCAATCTAAATGCAAATAAATGTCCACGATGTGACTCAAAAGCCATCTCGGTTCCCAGCCGTACTTTTCCGGATTCTTCACCTTGAGATTCTTGCATTTAGGGCCGCATAATTGCGTCAAATTGAAATTCAACATGGAGGCCAGACGGTCGACGAGTTCCGGACGCAGGAACGGTTCCTTGATGTCCGTGGTCAAGTAGTGGAACATGTCGACCGTTTCCCGGGCCAATGTTAAATATGACTTGCATTGCCGCTCATCGGCATTCATTTGGCGCATACGCGTTTGTTGTTGTTCCGAGCTCATTTTGGCCCAGCCTTGTGTGTCTCGTATCAACTCTTGAACTTCGTGGATCCGCTTTAAACTCTCCAAGGACTCGTCCAACAAAAAGGTCGTGTCGTTCATAAGCATGTTTACGAACTTGACAAACTGCTTACCGCTCCGAGACTCGTTTATCAATGCTTGCCTGTGCACCGGAGATACCCACATCCCTTTGAAGATTAAGCTAATGTTGTAGCGAATAGTAAATTTATCGTAAAACTCCGAACTGGATCCAGTCGTTTCAACGTCCGTGTAGAACTTCATCAGCGAACTAGGCAATAGTGTTTGCGAAATTTGATGCGACATTATGCGGTTGTGTAAAGATTCCGTGTTATTCTGCACTTGCGGATTTATGGTGAAAATCACTTCTACGATTTTGGCAATCAAGTACGGGCTTTTAATGCTATTAGAACAGCAAACCATTGCCAATAAAAATGTTATCATGGTGTCTTCCATATTTTCGATGATCACTTTCGGAATAAAACTTGAAAAGATAAACATGTTATAGAAAAGAAGAACAAAAATTTCCAATTTGATATACTCACTGTAACGCAAACAAAAGGAATTCGGCGATGTCCTCAACGTACCACTCCGGAATTGCGGAGAAGACGTTTGGCACATCAGAGTTGTGCGGAAGAGGCAGAGTATTGACGCAAGCTCCCGGTTTTGAATTTGTCAATAGGTATAATAAGTATTCGGCAACTTGTGTGTAGAAGATTAGCGTTCTTCTCATCAGATTTTTATCCAGGACGCCGGTGTCCGCGCAAATTTTCGACTTTGTTAGTTTTTTGTGCTGTTGCTTCCATTTCTTTATGAATAGTTTGTTTCTATTTGCGTACGGAGTATTTTTCCATTGAGCTTCTGAAGCAACAGTATCATCAATCAATTTCTGCAACTCTCTCATAAGACGCAAACGTCTCTGATATTTCTGTAAGGTCGGCATAAGCGCTACATGATGACAATGCAATGTCAAGAACCAGCATTTCGTTGCAAACTTGACTTCGTTCCATTTCTCGCCGTCATCTAAAATTTGAAAAAGTTTAATTTATAATATAATTCATCGTATAGTCGCTATAGTTACCAATTCTTTTTTGCAACCAGTCTGTAACTTCTTGGGAGGTGAACATGACTCGCGTTTCGTTTTTAATGTTGATTAGTGCATTTTCATGGAATGGATACATGAAGTCGATCTTGTCTAACTTAACTTTCACTGCTAACATTTGCATAACGCTCAAGAGATTTAACATAAAACCATCTCCAATCAAAATGCTCTCCTCGATGTGCAATTGGCAACGTTTTTCATTATGTTTTAATACAGTTGCGATATATTTGAGCATTGGTTCTCTGCTGGAGACATTCGCTAGCATTTCGTGGAAAATTTTATACAGATTAACACGAGTGTTCTCCAGTTCTTGTTGAAGTGTGAGATTAATGGTTTTATCACATGCGTATCCCGAGAAGAACCTTTCGGCAACTTTGGGCTCGTCCTCGGCGAACACAGACACCGAGAGGAATGGACCGAAGAACGATTTCAAGACGAATTCGCGACCAACGGAATTGGTGCATAGTTCCGGGTGAAATATTGGCAATTGCGTGATCAACATGCAAAGCGGACGAGCCCCGCACCGAATTTCTGTTAATTCTGAAAGAACTTGGATTGGATAGCGGTGCAAGTTAGCGACGATACTAGAGTATTTCATCAAAGTATGCGTTCCTAATAATATAGGCATAAATATAACATTGAACAATGGCACATCCATATGCGTGCGAAGAACCAGCTCCGTTAAATAGCCACGTGGCAGAGTTTGATGGACCAATGGTCGAACTAGTAACGGCATTTCCCTCTTCATCTCTTCGGACGAAGAAAAACATTCGCGCATTAACAAAACAGAGTGATGAATGATTTGCGATCGGAGATCGCTCAATAATTCGCTGTACGGAGGAATGCTGGACTTCTTAGGATGGTTTCTTTCCTCCACGTTAACACGAACATAACATTCCATGAGGTAGTTAAAGGCTTGGCTCTTAGTTTCCAGATCTCCTACAGTTGACTTGACCAATTCTCCTCGAGTGTCGATGGGACTTGATGAGCTTGAGCTCACAGTGTTGCCTGGACTAGCATTTGTTTCATATTCTAAGTCGCTTTGTAAATTCTGAGCATTTCCTTCCATTATTCTAAATATTACTTCTGTTACACTCTGAGAAATAATATCTGCATATACAGTAGTTGATTTATCTTTCAGTGCTTCAGCAGTTTGAGGCAAATAAAGTGGATCTGCTTCCTTAAAACTGCAGAGCAATACTCTTGCAATGGCGTTCATCAGCTGCTCTTCAGTCATCTCCGTCGATGATGATGTTCTTTGTCTCCTGGAATCCCCCTCCTCCACCTCCATATTTTCAATACCAGAATCAATATCTGTATTACCACCACCAACTTTTTCACCACTCACCTCGTCTACTTCCATATGTATGGAACTGGTTTCTGAGTCACTTCTCTGAGGCGGTGGTCTAGTTCTGGTTCTACTGCCACAAGCCACTCCGATATCAATTGGCTTGCTTGGCACCTGAAAGACATTCTCATACTTTCGTGTAATGTCTTCCTTCATCTCCACATTCATCGGACATTCAATTTCTAAAGCTGCTTCACCATTGTTGCCCTCCTTTTGCTGCACCCCAATGTTATTGTTAGGGCTTTGAGAAATTGGAGTTGCTGGAGGTGATGTAGATGTTGAGGTTCCACCAAAACCAGCACTCCCACCCAATCGTGCCAATCTTCTTTTGCGAATCTAAAAATATGGAGTCACAAAAACATTTAAAATAATACACAAAGGAAAACAATGCAAGCAATGTATAAATAAGTTTATGCATGAAATGATTTGCAAAATGCAACATGTCTTGAAGTAAAACATCCAAATCATGCAGTAACAACAAGATGGCTTTTACTGCATTTTCAGAAAACATCCACATCCACAATGTGTGAACAAGCTTCTTCTTGTTTTTTTTTTTTTTTTGGAAAATTTTCAACATGCAATGTAAATAATTTTGAATGAATTGCAGATGCTTACCTCTTCCTGCGTGAGTTCGCTGCTCATCTTCCGTTTGTTCGTGATGCCGTTCTTTGTATTTATCTTGGGATAAACAAAAACGAAACCAAGCTGCTGTGAAAGGTGCCAAATTGTAAACTGTATCTACCTATCTGAGGTCTTCTGTGCAACGAAACGATCAAATAAAACAAACTGTGGGCTTCGCGTCCATTCGGCGCGCACTTCTTTATCAAAATAATAATTAAAAAAAACACAACCACATACAAAACAGTGGACAAGACATAGACGTCAAAAAAGTCAGTCACCTCTAAACAGCTGAGAGCAAGCGTACTACCTTCACTCAGAATGGTTCAACTCAGTATGCAGGAGCATTGCATGAGCACAGTCTAACCAAGGCTACTGGCTTTGTTTTCAGATCGGCGGCCATCCTTTCTGACGCAAAACATACTGCTGCAGTACTATGTAGGCAACACTATCTGCACAACCCTCATAATGACTTGCTATGATGACTAGTCAAATTTTCTGTTCTCTTTCCTTCGTACATTACACCGAGCAATTCCACAATACAAAATTGCATTCTAAACAAATTTCATAACTTCGATTGCATTCATAATTCAACAAATTCATATATTATATAAACAAACTCATTAATATAACGCCCACTCATTTTCAAAAATGAAATGCAACCCAATTAGCAAGGACCTTTGCAAAAATTACTTAAAATATTTATACTTTGCAATTAATATTTTATGATAGACACATTGACGATGAATAATGTAATAATTAAGCACAATTGTTGAAAAATATGAATTTAATAATATTTTATATGTTTTCTTGGTAATATATGCATTAGGACACCTTTCACATTATTAGAAATGTTTGGAATTGTACAAATACAAAATGTCTTTTAAATCACAACATTACTTAAAACAACAACATTGCTAAATCTACTCAAATAAACTTTAACTATAATTGAAAGTTTGCAAAATTTACTATTACTTAATAAAAATTATTACTAAAGAAAAAATGCATCAGAACTATCAATAATTTAAAATAAACAAACTTAAGATATTCAATACCGGTCGATAGTCACTTTGGAAATAAAACTCTTAATAAATTTATATTGTTGTTTTCTAAATAGCGTTCTTATTACAAATTTTATAGCTTGTATATCATTCAGTATTGATAGTCATATTAATTTGTTTTGTCTGCGTTTTGGATTAACGTGTTGTTGAAAATGCAGCAGCTGCTTGTTTTTTTTTTTTGGAGAATTATGATTCGGAATGAATGATTTCAGCAAACGCGTCTCAAAAATCAATATTGAATGATACTCCCTCGGACTGCGAATGCGGTGATCAATATCCTCCAGGGGTATTTTTCCCAAGCTGCTTAAAGTTGGTGCTGCAAGTCAAACGAGTTTGCCAGGAGGGTGTGGCAGATACCTCAAAGACCGAACAATTATGCCTCGTACATTTTTTTTTGTTAAATATACGATTATGTCTAGTCTAGCAATATTTGCATCAGAAAAACTAGTTGCCATACTTGTAGTATTGACAATGAACATCAATACAAGTAAATTGTTTTTTCAAATTCTTAATTATTAAAAGCAATGTCTTTGCTATATCGTAAAACAACTTTCATATACAAATAGCTTTAACGTAAAAGTACAATTTTTTAATTGCATTTACATGTAAATTCTTATCGAATCCTCTTTTCTATATATTGTATACGTATCATGTTCAAGGGTGTTTATAGGGATTAAATAAACCAATATTGTTTTGTAGATTATATTAATATTATTTGATATAAAAATAATTTCTCTTGTCTTCTAAATATAAATACGTTTCGATTGGCTCGTCAATTAAATTTTACGTACGTTATAATGCGAGAGACATATGTAAACTTTAAATTATTAACTAAAAACGAACATTAAGAGTAAAGGTGATTAAGGAGTAAATGCAGAAAGCTTCAAACGACGATCAAGTCCACGTCCTTGTTGAAACTGTGGTGGCTCGGAGAAGCGCTGAAGTCATCTTCGAACGAGACCTAAAGTAAAATACAAGTAATATTATTAATGATGTATTATGGTTAGTAAGGGATTCTTACCCATGGGTTTTGCTGTTGTTGATTAGCTAGAGAAGATTCATCGAGATCAATTAAATGCTGCAACGTGTTATCATTATTTTCCTTGGCCGTTTCCTCTTGATCGGCGATTTGCGCAAATTCCCTTGTCGATGGCAATATCCGCCAGGCAGCGTAAGCCGTGCTGAAGGCGTGTGCAACGGACAACGTTACAGTTTCAGCGATTTTGCGTTTCGAGCACAAAAATGCGTGGCATTCCGTCGTTTCGTTGTTGTCTGTCGAGATGAAGGAGAATACTTGACGATGGGACGCGTCCGTAGAACAATTTGAAATTCTGCAAATAAAATCAATCAAATATATTAAATTGAAACAAATATTCTTACTCATTATTGGAAAAATACACTATTAGTGCGATTAATGGAAAAACAAATAAATGTAAAACACCGAAAAAATAGTATGTTCGTGTCTGATGAGAGTAAAGCGATTATTAGAAGTGCAAACAAATAGAAAAAAGTAACGTGTGTAAAATAAAAGAAACTTCGCGGTTTCATTTCAAGGAGTTTAAAAACATTGATTGAGTGGATGTATGAGTAAACCGTTTAAAATATTTAATAGACTGAGGAAAATTTACTGCAAGAGTTCAATTGAATGAATGCAGAGCGTTTCGATCAATCATATAGTTGAATTAAGATTGCTTGATAAAATTACGTATAATTCGATAAAAATTAACTGTATCTTTGCAATAACGCAATAAATCTAGAAAATATCTTTAATTCAAGGCATAAATATGAATTTATTCGTAACAATCATTCTTTCGTAAAAAGAGATTTTATTGAAAAAAAAGAAGTTATGTAAAACAGGAAATCGAAAAGTTAGATTCTGAAGTAAAAATATTGGAAATTGTATTACGTGTAAACAATTTAGTAGAACGTGGAAAATGAAACCAATGAAAGCAGATCGTTTCTAATAATCGTTTGGTCGAGTTACTCAATGTTTGTTGAAGTAATTTAATTTTATTTTTTTTTATATATTTGTTCAATTTATATATTTTACGTTGGTCTCACCTTTCTTCATTAATTTCAGTGATTATTCATCAAACTAGTACTTGCAGTTAAAAAAAGTACATGTCAAGTATCAAGTATTGACTTAATATATTTAGTGTGCTTTATAAAGCTTATTTTGTAACTACAGTGGAACTTTGCTTAACGAGTTTAATCCGTTACAAAATTTCCGGATTTTTACTAGTATACTGAAACATATTCAAAAATACACATAATATGTGTACACAAGTTTTAAAAATGATGTAGGGTCTTCTCTTCTCATCGTCAATCGTTATGCAAAACGTCGCTCGTTAAGCGAGTTATTTTTCTTACAATTCACTTTGCTCGTTATGCGAGATGCTCGTTACGCAAGGTTCCACTGTACGTGCTATTTATCAAGTGTAAACTATTGAGAATCAGGCTTAAGTTATTTTTAGGAGTTGAGATGCCTCAATAAGGAGTTATTGATCATAAGTAAAGTACTTTAAAGGAGAAAAAGTAATTATGAAATCTTTGAAAAGTGAAATCACCTTGATGATAAAAAGCTATCAATTTGCTTTACCTATAAATGGAGACTTTGAACATGTCATTTCCTTGGAGATCGGTGACTGCTATCCCCTTCAAGGAGATATTCAAATTGACAGGCGTCAACTTTTTCCTCGAAGCTTTGGCGACTTTCAATATACTCTTAACAGCCTCCGGTCCAATTTTCTCCCCGATCACCTTCTCCACGACAGTATTTCCTATAGAAACAGAGTATTAACAAATTACAGAAAACATTTAGGATATTTACCTAAATATTTGAGTTTGAATGTGACAACATCATTGTCAACCTCGACGTCCTCTTCTCTACAATTTTGCAAAGCCAGCTCCTCGGATAATTCTGTAAAAATAAAAAGATGCGTTACAAATGAGGAAACATGGATTAAACTTTGATCATCTGCGTATTAGACGGAGATCCAATGCGCAATTGTAATTTCGTTATTTCATTCGGGAATGTTGTGATTGCAACCAAATAGATAACGTCGAAAATTGATTTTACTTAGAAGTTATGTTGTTATTATTATTAATATTTTTTTGTGTGCTCTGTGCAATCTCGAAACGCAAGTACATGGATATTAAAGACGTACTATTGAACGATATTAACCGTGACCCGAGCAACAATAACATGTATCCGTCTAGGCGATAACCCTTCGGAAAACGCGCCATCCATATCGCATCGAGTCAAATGAAATTATTTGCATAATTAATAATTAATTGATACTTTAATTTTAGGCGCAATCGAAGCCAAAAAAAAACAGCAAATGGAATCGCAGACGCCGCATGTTTTCTTTCTAAAATAAAATACAAAATAAATAGAAGGAAATTAGCAAAACGCGTATCGAAATAAAGTTGTTGTTGTTGTTGTTTCTTTCTTTCTGCAAGATTTCTCGTTGGCGCCAGTTGCTGCATATAAATATTATGACACGAGGCCGTTTCCGAAATCTCTTCATCTAACTCGTGCACATTTCGCTTCCATACAAACACACACACACATATATTTAATTTTGTTCGAAGCTCTTCTATTTTCGGTTTTTACGCGCAATCAATCGCAAAGCCAAATGTGAACGATCCGATGCAACAACACGAGCGGCGTTGTTTATTTAATTACTTGTTTATATTCTTGTGTTCATACGTATCTTTTATGTCCGTGCAATTAATTAAAGACCATATTTTGTGTTTCGTATCTTTGCATCGATCCATGTCAATATTCAATTTGCATATGCAAGTTATTTGCGTCAACTGCATAAAAATAATAAATCGTACTTTTCGCAGGGAAAAACAAAATCGAGCAAATAAACAGTGGACGAGGAAAACACACAAATCTAGGATTAGAATTCAATTTCGTGCACGGCTCAGCAATTGTTCTGTTTACATTTATTTTTAGAATTTTCAATTCGTCTCGGAATCGTTTCGAACTTGCAGATAATCGCGTTTTATGTTCTCGGTTAATTAATTTATCAGCTTTATTAACAACACTTTCGCAAGGCACTCGAAATATCCGGCTAGGCAACAGTTTATTAATTTCGACCTGCCATGCATGACTTTTTGTTATTTGCAAACAAAAACACACATAATTTTGAGAAATCTACGAATTAAGAAATAACGCAATAGAATGAAAAACCTCACTTTACAACATACGTAATTTGTGTAATATTATAACTGCATTAAACAAAATTTTTGATATTAGCATAAACTTCTTTCTACTTCAAATATAGTTTGTAGACAATTTGTATCATCACAGCAAATAATCTTCCAAAAATTAGATTATCTAAAATGGAAATAATATATAATTACTAAATTAGATCGATCTACGTTGTTTAAATCTTTAAAGGGTGTATTAAAAGCTACGAGAAGAGAAAAGTGATTGGATTATGAAAGTTTACTTAATTTATTTTCGCAATTATCTAAAGAAACTTAATTGTATCAATACAATCTATGTTCTAGTAGAAATGAAATTCCAAGGAGAAGTAATGATAATTACATTTTTTAAAAACTGAAACCGCAAATATCAATCATGTGAGAAAACCTTGGTTTTCATAAACGAACAAGGAACAAATAAATAACTAAATGCTAGATTTTTGATACAAATATAATTAATATTACGAAATTCTACGTATTTACATCATTTTCCCCCAATTATTTTCGAAAATGCTAAGTTTTTTGTAAATATCTCGAAAACGGTGCAACTTTTTATATATTACGTATTTATATTTGATTAAGTAGTAAGGGGTCATCTATTGCGCTTAATTTGATATATTCTTTGTTGCGTAAGATTAAATATTTTTTCATGTTTTAGCTAATTAATTAACACTAATTGCGTCAATAATTGAATATATAAAAGATCACAATATCCTGCATAAATGAAGGTAAGTCTTCATACAAAATAAAACTAAGATTGAAGTTAAAACCAGTTGGATTAATTGAACGCTCTCAAAAAAAAAACAACCCAGACGAGGTTCTAAAAAAAAGAGATATTGATTTTACGCTCTCTTCGGTCGTTCGGGGGGTGCTAAAATGCAAGTTTCCGGTTAACTGGGAATACTGAGAAAATGATACCTATTTTCCTATTTCCACGTCAGGTGTCAGGTGCTAAATGTGAACAATATATATATGTATTCTTATGAATGGAAAAAATGATTTATGATGACCTTTTTAGGCTCCGAACTTGAGGATTTGCGGACATTCTCGGTCGCAGAGTACCGAGAAGGACGAATCGATGGTACACTTAGGCCCGGTTCTCCAGTTGGCAACCTTTTCTTCTCTTTTTTTTTGTTGCTCTATACTTAAGTGTAATAAGAAGGAGAGATGCTCTAGCTCGTAATTTCTTCGCGGAGACCAGACACCGGTTTCGAACAATGAGCCGATGAATATAATACAACAACAACAAAAAAAGATATACTGTAATGAAACATTATAAACAATTGACGATAATTGTCTTTTCACGGCCAAAGAGTTGCGTCACACAATGCACCTGCATCGCCGCAATCTCACTAACAAATTAAATCATTCCGTTTCTTTCTTCTTTCTCCGAACATTACGCATGCAAATTCATTCGACGCTAAGAACATTTAATAGTGTAATAATAATTATATACGCAGATAATAGTTATTTTACGTTATTAGATAATCTACTTTCTGACAATTAAATCAACATTCATTCACTATTATATAATAAAATAGATTTATTAAGATTTTTGTTTATCTATTACATTTATTGACTATAAAAGTTAGTGAAGTTGGATGTAACTGCAACAGATGTAAATGATCTACTTGAAGTCAACGTGGAATAAATCACGAATGAAGACCCCTTAGAAATGCAAGAGAAAGCTGAATAGGAAGAAGATATTGCAACTGAAACTCCTGTTCATTCTTTCACTATTAAAAGCCTTGACGAAGAATTGCAACACGTCAAAAAGGCAATTGAAACTTTCAATTGTAATACACAATGTTTAAACAATTACCAAAATTTTAAAGAAAAAAACTAGTATAACAGTTATTAACAAAAAAGATACTTGGATTAAATCATTTTTATTAGATATTTCACTAAATTAAACAAAGAATAAGAACTTTAAGAATTGAGTACAGTCAATAATAAATGTAGATATGTTTTTAATAAACGATGTAAGAAAATTATCTTAACAAAATAACTTTTGTACTTAAAAAGTATTTAGGTCAAAACAATTTTCATCTTGTACAATCATACGTTGTTTAAAATAATCAATGATTAAATATTGATTTACAATAATCTTTTATATTTTCGAAATTATAATGAGATTATTTTAGCATTAAAAGCTGATATTGTTTATTTATAGTAACCATTATTTATAATTGCATAATTAAGAGAGTATTTGAAGAATTCGCAGAAGGCAATTTGCGTTTATCATTGGCTGATACGACGTGGTTACCATGGGAGTTAATTTATCGCATATACTGAATACTTATTGACAATTTAGATTTCCAAAAAAAAAAAGTTCGTAATCATATTAAGAAAGTTACGTTTGATGAGAAATCTATAATATATATTTTATATAACATATCTTAATAAAGCAAACTTGAAATAAGTCTATTTATAGCTTACAACTCGAGTGATAACATGTATGTCTGATTACTTATAATTTTTTTTTTTATTATTCATTAATACAGTAGATCCTGTTTTTGTGCGATCTTTTTTTATGCGGTATATGAAATCCAACCAATTGCAACGACACCATTGTAATGTTTTCTATGTACAGCCAGCTCAAACGATTCTGTTAATCGAGTTTGAACCAATTCATCACAAGAAGATGCCCGTTTTGAATTATCACGAGTAGCAGTGAATTATGTATGTGAATTTTTGAAAATTTCTCCATATGTACAATGAGAAATTAAATATTTTAAAATGTTTCCATGCATAATTTAATTATTTATTTTGTTTGGATGCAAGTTTTGTTTTTTCTCATGTATTTCGTAAATCTTTGCGATTCTAAGCATAAAATCCATCGCATAAAAATAGTTTCTGTAGTTCTAATGTATTATTTAAAGTTATTTGATATATGTAAGAATTTATAAAAAATTCTAATATTTTTTTGTGCGTTTTTTTTTCTGCGGTCTACCTATCTACTGCACAAAAACAGGTTTTACTGTACAATCACTTAAAATTATTATATTATATATATGGACAGAAACAATTTATGTGATTTTAATAAATGTGTAAATAATTAGTTTAATAAATTTACATATTATTGAATTGAATCTAATTACAATTAACAATAATGTTCAACTTTGTAATTGAAATAAATTGAATATAATGTGTCAAATTAACAATTCTATGATAATTTAAAAAATAATATTTAAATAATTACTTTGCTAAATTGATCTAATTTGAATGTATGTTAAATTTACATATTAATTAAATCTAGTTTCATAAATGATTAATTTAAAATAAATTTTATAATTATTTACTATAATTTGTTAAAGTGATAAGTCTATGCCAATTTAAATCGAAATTTCTGTACAAATAAGTGTGTGATCAAAAGATAATCTTTCAATGAAGAGTTTGAAACTTGATAGGTAAGTTACATCATAAATATTCTCTTATTTGTGATGCAATAAGAACTACATCGTCGATTGAAAGTAATTTAAAATTATTAATAGAAATTGTGTTTTAAATATGTTATTCGAAGTTAAAGCTGTGAGTATTGATGATTGTACCAGTTTTCTTTTCTTTTATTATTGAAGAAAATTAGCGCGCGCGCGTGTAGAATGCGTTCAAACGTAATTGCGAATGCGTTTTAGGCGAATCCAGTTCGTCTGGAGGAGATCTGGTTTATGGGGTAATTGCAGCAGTACGTACAGCTGAGCAGCCGCGTTGAGCCGAAAATTACCTCGGCCAGGTACTGTTTCTTCTTGATAAGTCGAGAATGACCGCAGCTTCATTCGATATTGCATGATGGGTTTTCTTCTTTGTCCTTTTCGTATGATGCAAGTGCACGTCGGGCTTACCTCAGACGTCCGTCCTGCTTCGCGTTCCGCGCCGTATCATTAAGCAATTTCTCCGCGAAAAGTATAACTCTGGCGCATAATAATTGCGTTGAATGATAGAAAAACCATTACTGGAAAAATTAACAGAGAAAAAGGAATGCTTTATAATCCGTAATTATGAATTGGATTGCGTTCGGCGAGCGTTCATTGCAGAATCATACCAATTGATACTCATTAACGGATTTGCATATATGGTCAAATCGATTAAATCCGCTTGGATATTGTTATCATTTCCGCAACTTTCACTTAAACGAACCAGCGTCAATAATATTACCACCGAAATCTATCGGAATGCGCACTCAGACGAACAATGAATGACAAAGCGTGTATTTTGCATAATGCTTTTATTTTCAATGCAATTTTAAGTAAACGTTTCCTATTATCCAACATTCTGGTATTTATAAGGAAATACCAATTCGAAAATATGATTTTTCTCCAAATAAACAAGTGCTGCGTTGAATCGTTCCAAGTTCGTACTTGTATTTGAAATGCCCGCATCGATGAAGTGAAATAGCGTCAGTTAGAAACCTGGATTGGAAAATTTTCTAATGCGCGTTTATCAACTTTAAGCTCTATATTTAGAGGCCGGATTGATCGAAAGAGAAATTAATTAATTAAGTTGAAAATTGTTCCTTCGGGCGATAACTTTTACACAATTTGCATTGATAAGGACGCGCACCGGGGGCATAAGGCCAGAGACAAAATTGAATTTGGCTTAGGAACAGAATTTTCGGTTTGTTTATTGCCTAGGAACGGACGGCGCTAAGTTACATCATGCAGAAGCAACAGATTAAATTTGCAGGTGTAAATGGATAATTTATGGATACTTACTTTTGTGCTTGGAGCCCACTTTCCACATGCTCTTTAAAAACGACATTGTTTCAAACAAAACAAAAATTTAAAAGTAGTATTTGCAATGACGCGAATTGAACGATCCTCGAGAAGTGTATGTGTAGTAATGTTGTTGTAGTATGTATGTAAACTTTGAACGACCGATCTCGGAGAGTGCACGTCTTTTCGTTGGCGCGGCTCGATTGATTTTACCGATTTCTCGTAACGCGAAACTCTCGCGGACTTCTTTAAAGCAGCGAAATGAACATAATAAGAGAGAAAAAAAGAAGAGGAGAATTGAAACAGAAAAATAACACACACACTCTCAGTGTACGCGATTTTATTTATGTTGACCGAACGGACGCAAACAGCGGTCGCATCAACAGTCGTGTTGAAATTGTTGCTCGCGACTTTTATCTTTTTCTTCGTTGATAACGCGAAAAATCGAAAAGCGGAAACATTTCGATGAGATACAAACTATTCGAGACGCATTCGAAGAACACAACAAGGATTATTACTTTTAGAACGGCTTCTCGTCCGTTCATTAATGATGATTATTATTAATAGATGCCATAGTAACATTAATCTCATTTTTTCTCTCTTCAAGTTCAATGCTTTGGCGAAAGGAGATATAAACCGTTTCACATGCGACACTTCACACATATATTTATATATTATTATTATATATATATTTTTGTTTGTTGTTGTTTCCTCTTAAGATTTATTGTAAAGCACAAAGTTTCGATTGTATAATATATTTGTTTGTACATTTTAATCCTAATTGTATTAGTAATTACATCAAAACTATATGTTGCTATTAGTGTTATTTGATCTTGCTTTAATATTAATATTATTCTTATTATATTATATATGTATATATAACTATTGAAAAAAAAATCTTATTTGATATTATAACATATCAAATGCAATTATTGTGTGGATGGTATGAAAATATTCCTATTTTACTTTCAGCCACAATCACTCTATTTAATAATAAATAAATATAATGTATATTGCAATGAAAGAAAGAATTATTTACAAAATAAATATTGCATCTAAACTGTTACACATGATAAAGCCTACTTATATTATTTACAACTTACAACTTGATTCCTTTTACTTAATATAATATATATTAGGGAAAAAAACTAAAAAAAAAAAATTGTAATTGTGCCTTTCTGTATGTTAAGTTTGTTTTGTTTTTCTTTTTTTTTACCTCACATTTAGAGCTACTTATTTACAGTACCATTAAATGCCAAATTTTTCCTTCTCTTTTTCGTTTTAACTTTTTTCATTTCAACTCATTTATTGAGTAAATGCGACTTAAAAGACGCACTAGCCGCCAAGTTTCTTTGATGATTCAAGGAACCGTGGAAGGGATCTTGCGAGTGAGCTCTGTAGTGATGCCGGATTAGGTAGGAGTCTTTAGCGAAGGCGCGACCACAGACGGTGCATTCAAAGTGTCTATCTGAATTGTGTGATCGCAAATGGAGGGCGTACTGAGTCTTTGAAGTGAACGTCATTTGACACTGGTCACAGGAGATTGGTCTGTCAGAGACGTGCGACCATCTATGAGCTATAACGTAGCTCTTGACTGCAAATCTCTTGTCGCACACCTCGCATGCATAGGGTCTCTCTCCAGTATGCACACGTTTGTGGGTGTTCAGGCTAGATTTCTGTGTGAATCTCTTTTGGCATTGATCGCATTGAAATGGCCTCTCTCCAGTGTGCACTCTCATGTGAACCTCCAGGTAGGGCTTACGGCAAAAGGCAGCCTCGCACAGGGAGCATTGAAATGGTTTGTTCCCTGAATGCAATTTCATATGAACATAGTAACTTGATGATGATGATAAAACTTTGCCGCAAATCTTACAGCTCTGCATCTTGGAATTGCTGGTGCCCTCCCCTGTGCTCATGTTGCTCTCACTCATTGTCTCATCCTTAATATCGCATCTAGCAATTGTAGATGCATCTTCCCGGTGCAAGTCTAAATTTAGCTGGAATCATAAATTAGTGAACATCTCATCATCAAAGAACCAAGGTATAATTACATGATCAGTGCCAGGTCTGTAGTCATTGGCCATAACATCTAAAGTTGGTGGGATCACTGATTGATAAAAGGCAAGGGGCTCTGCTTTGATTTGGTGATGATCAAAAATACTGTGATTCATAATAGGCAACATTTTATGTCTTTGATTGCACACATTTATCCGCGCCCTACGTGAAATAACTTTTAGTTAACAGTTCAAACTCATTTAACGTCACTTCAATCGACCAATTGTTTATAATTTCTTTTGACAGTTTTTAAAATACAATAAATATAAATAACTCGAAGCTGTCACAGGACGACTAGCGACCCCTACGAACTCGACAGTATTACCAACCGCTCAACACGTGCCTATTAATAATTCTTATAAGAATATCATTTCATACCCTTATTATATCATACTACATATCATCATCTCAAAAATACTATTACTCAATACAATAGCCTATACTTTAATATCCATTTTATAGAATTATATAACGATTTGGTTTATGCAACCAAATACACATTCGTTATCCAGAGGTTCTCAAAAAGTTCACATAAGAATATAGTGGAACCTCGCTTAACGAGCACCTCGCAGAACGAGCATTTTGCTTAACGAGCAAAATGAATGAATTAACGAGCAACGTTTCGCATAACGAGTGACGATGAGAAGAGAAGTCCCGGATTGCGCGCCTTCACATCATTTTTAAAATTTATATTAACCATTATCGATTTTCTTTGTTTAAATATAAAAAGTTCAGTTTGAGTC